GTCCATCCGTCTGTCTGCGTCCAGGTGATTGTTTGGTCTGGCGTGGGGCCGGTGGTCGAGTGCTTCGTTATCACGGTCCGCGTGGTCACGGGTCACTTGAGCGTCTTCAATATCTAGGATCTGTTGTGGGGTGGCGTTGATGGTCATGGTGATGTCGAAGGGCAGGCCCATCAGTAGAAGAAAGTATGAAACGTTGGAAGTCGCTTGGACGAGAAAGGTTGCCACGGCACTAGAGCAGCTAAAAGCAGCTAGACGAGTATTATTGGAGAATCATGGAACGCACCAATCAAGATGGCGTGCGGCAGACCCTGGACTGGGGAGCCGCAGTGGTTTGTGGTTTGGTTGCGGTTTGGTTTTTGGGGGTAAGGTTTGCCCCCAATTGCGGTGTTTGGCGCACTCTACACACCTACCCCTATAACTCCGACTAAAGTGCCCGCTTTAGAACCCTAATCACCTAGCATAAGCCAACTGCCGCAAACTTCTAAATATCAAGGTTACGGTATGAGTTCCGATAGGTTCTAGATCACACGGCGTTCACAGAATTAGCTATGGCTAGACCGCGGCACGAATCTCAGGAGTCCGCGGTTAACCTCACCTCAAACCTCGATTTGAGGTTTGAGGTTTTGGACCCCCAAACCTCACTGAGGTTAACCTCGAGGTTATAGAGGTTTATCAAACAGTACAAACACAGATATTTCGTTACTGCATAATTTATGAAGAATTTTGCTGTAATATCAGGTATTTGCTATACAGTTTATATGTGAGGATCGGAGGGTTGGGTGCCTGAGGAAAAGGGGCATCCACACCCGAACCCGGGGGCACCCAACCCTCCTAAATTCTCCCAGTAGACCTCTTGCTCTCTTCTTCTTCTTTTTCTTCTCCCTAGCTTAGTTCTCTTAGTTGAATAGACCGCTTTTCTGCGCCCGCCGCCTCACATTATATATTAAAAAAATTTATTTGTAGTACAAGGATTAGAATGTTAAAAATGCTAATTAAATGCTAGATACAGCATGTCCTATTCTAACCTAACTTGAAATCCTTTTAGCAATCTTGATGGCTTCCTAACCCTCTGGCTATGTGGCCTAGGTTGTATTGCGGGTAGTGGATGACTTCCGTTATCATCGTCCTCAGCATTCTCAGGATCATAGATCTCTATATCATCGCCCTCAGAAGCAACGCTCCTTCGTCTTTTCCCCCTCTCCGGCTCAGTCTGCTGGGTTATAGTGCTGATATCTTCATCCTCAACCTGCTCATCGTCACTTGAGCACTGATTGGATCGAACCTCACTATCTCCGTGTTCCTCTCATCTAATGCTGCCTATCTCTCCTCTTTCGTGAGATACTTATCCATTAAAAGGCGGTAGTCTTCCTAAAGGTCGAGCCTTGATGTACACATATACATCATAAGCTCCTAAATAGTTTTCAGCTTTAAGGAGCCACGAAGATAATAACAAATATCTCGCAGAGTTGAACAGCCGCTCAACACCTGCCCTAGTCGTAGGTATCGAAAGAATATGCCGCGCGAGATTTGCAAGTATTAGGTACTCATTCTAATACTCTCTCTAGAAGACCTAAGGAGACGAACGCATAAGTCCGATATTATAATTAGCTAATAACTTAATTTAGAACTATATCTACTTACCCCCTTCGAGGTATTTCGTGAGCTTATCGGATTTAATTAAGTAACAGTGACCGAAGAGAATTGTGAGTCTCCTACTTAAGCCTGAAGTTCTAGCTCAAGCTCTAATATCCCGGTTATAAACTGCCGACCTTCGTCGCTAGTGTTTAGATCCGTTCGAGCTTTATATCGTTAAAAGAAATTTTCGAAGCTTCGACGATACTGTAAACGCTAGTCTATCTCGTCGTTCTTCGAGATTAGCGTGCTAAAGAACTGAAGCTTCTGTGTCGGCGTAAGAATCGTGCTAATTGCAAATAGATGATCACCAGGGATATTGTCGGTATTAGCATAATACCGTGAGAGCTTTACCTGCGCGGCTTCGACAGCTTCATGTATGACAAGACCGCGGAGATTCCAGATCAACCTCTGTTTCCTCTTTGGGAATATCTCAGCACACCTCCATTGCGGAATACGCCTGCATCATCTACGTATTGATCAGTCAAGTACGGAGTATTCCCTCTTAGGTCACTGACTTGCACCCACAAAAAAGTGAACAGCAAAAAAGCAAGGGAGAAAACAAAAACATAAAACAAAAATCAAAATCCCCTAGAGTGCTTGCTGGTGGAAATTTATGTATAGCTTGTCAGCTCACATTGTATGTGGTCAGTACGCAGTAGTCCGGTAGGTGCACCCGGGTGAGATAGTGGTGGACCACTGTACGCGTGGGCCCTACGGATCGACAAGAGTGAATGCGCTTTAGACGAAGTGAGCATCTAGGGGAGAGTGAGAGTCTGGTGGGAGTACTGCGGTCTGACGCGATCACGTACATCATTGGCTGCGACTGCTGCTAAACTGTCTTTGCTCCCCCATCTTTGATGCCGATCACTATACCACTTTGTTTTAGTGTTATGCAGGGCAATGTCATGAGAGCGAGCACCTGGGCAAACACCTGGGAAAATTCGGTTTCAACCCTCGTGTTGGACGGATTTCTGTGAACACATTTCCTCAACCCTTTATCTCTAAATCGAAGCCTAATCGGCAAATTTATCACCAGATATCCTTTCTTCATCAATGGCTTCCCGGTATAATCACGGATTACATGATGTTGACAAAGATGATTGTATGGCCGCTAGTGTTATGGAGAGCAAAGCTGAAGGATTGGTTGTTCAGCTTCAGGCATCTGGGGATCAAGGCCTGATACTACAGGAAAGGAGAGATTTGGAACACCAGAACGAATGAATCTTGTTTGGAGACATATATATGTAAGGTCTGAAATCAGGCACCCCCCGGCATATTCAGGCATCGAATTAGTTAGGTGCTGCGGAGAATACATGTTAACCTTCGTAAACGGGCCAACAGCTGTTGTCATGTAGTTGAAAAATTTAACAGTCAAATATCACAAAGTTCAACACCTAACTGAATGCAGTCAAGTAGTCGGCAAATCCATCGAATCACAGTGCTTGGCGAGGCTTGATAGATCGGGAATAGCTTCCCTGTCATTCCAACGCGCGATGGCGTGCTTTTTGATTTCACTTAATTTGTTCTAGTACTGGGTGTTTATAAGTGTGAATGTGTATTTATTAGTAGGTCTCCCGTTGTATGGGATTTAAAAATTAATTCTACACCATCCCGCCGGAGTCATGTCTGAAAAGGCCCCTGCCACGGCCGAAAAGGCACTCAGCCCTAAATCAGAGACGCCAGCCCCTCAGCCAGCACGCCAGAAATGGTACGAGTGGTTTGCACCGACAGATACACCCGCTGAGCGACGACTAATTCTCAAGCTCGATGGGTTAATCATCGTCTTCGTCTTCCTGGCATACTGGGCCAAAGTGCTGGATTCGTCGGCAACTAGCACCGCCTATGTTAGTGGAATGAAGGAGGATTTGAACCTATACGGAAATCAATTAAATTATCTCCAAACGGTCTACATGTAAGTCGTTCCTCGGAAATGAAGGACGAATGAATATTGGAATCAGACTGATTCGATCATGGAGTAAAGGGTTGGCTTCATCACGATGCAGATCCCTTTGACTTTACTGGTGAGGAGTTTCAACTTTCCACGAAGTCTCATTTTCTAATGATGGATCGTTAGATGACCCGCTGTCCGGTAAATTATTTCCTTCCGGCCGCGGATCTCCTCTGGGGCGTCTTCACCCTGGCACAGTACAAAGCCAGCAATGTCACTCAACTTTATGCCCTGCGCTTCTTCGTCGGAGCTCTGGGTGGATTCTTCTTCCCAGCCGTCCAATGGTACCTGGGTAGCTGGTACAAGAGCTCTGAGTTATCCCGCCGCGGCGCCATCTTCTTCATCGCCAGTCAAGTGGGCAGCATGAGTTCCGGATATATCCAGGCAGGAGCATACGCCAGACTGGATGGTCGGTACGGAATTGAAGGCTGGAGATGGCTGTATATCATCTGTGAGTATCTCCTCCACCCGAATAGACAGGAACGCGGCTAAGCAGAATAGGCTTCGCCTGTACAATCCCAATCGCACTCTTAGGCCTCTGTCTACTCCCCAGCACGCCAGACACGTGTACCTCACGATTCCTGACTGCCGATGAGATCCAACTCGCGCAAGAGCGCATGGCGTCTGAAAATCGCGAGGCCCGACAGCCTTTCACCAGAGGCAAGATCTGGCAAATTCTGAAGGGTTGGCGATTATGGATTCTCGTGACATTTGCATTTTTCTTTTCGCAGGCCGATGGCGTATCCTCAAACAGTGGCTTGTCACTTTGGCTCAAGGCCGAGGGATACTCGGTGGAAGGTATCAATACCATCACGACGGTTTCGCCCGCTGTCACCATCGTCGCATCAGTGGTGTGTGCTGTCTTTTCAGACATATACGATGCAAAAGCTAGTTTGATTGCCGTGACAGCCCTGCTGAACATCTTTGCTTGTATCGTGCTGGCGATCTGGAATGTCCCAGTTGGACTGAAGTTCTTCGCCTTTTTCCTGTCCGGCACAGCCGATGGAATTGCGGCTATTATATACGCCTGGGCGAATGAGATCTGCTCGCATAGTGCTGAAGAGCGCGCGATTGTGATCAGTGCTATGAACACCATTGGAAATACCTTTGGGGCATGGATTCCACTCTTGTAAGTGAAGAACAAGTGAGTATCTTGAATCTGCTGACCTTTTCCTAGTGTGTGGAAGACTGTCGATGCACCACGTTACCTGATCGGATATAACTGGACCATCGCACTCGACGTGTGCATGCTAGTCATGTTGGCGGTGCTCGTTCAGTTCTGGGCTCGCGAGAAGAAGCGATCGCTCGCATAGGAATCTCTAGTGTCCAGGATAATCCATCACTTAGGGAATTGATACCTTTGACAGAAGCTTATTCCCAATGGCGTGATCATACAACTTGCAAGAGAGCAAGAGAGCGTTGAATTTACCCCAGGGCTATCGCGTAAAGTCCGGCCTAACTCCGAAGCTACATCCGGGCCAGGCTCCGTAAATGTCATCAATCGATATTTCTCGAACGACACTAATTTTGAAAACATATAAAATCCCACCTGAGTAATGGCCCTTGTAAAGCACCTCGGTTTTCGTGCAAGTTGCTTAATACTTCTCCGTTACCGGAAGCCGAGACCAAGCACTCCAACCAAACTTGGGTATCATACCAAACGACATTATCACCACCATGAAGGCCCTGATTTACAGAGCCCCGAGCCAATCTATAGCTGTGGAAGATGTCGCCATGCCAATTCCTGGACCAAAGCAAATTCGGATCAAAGTGGAGGCTGTCGCGCTCAATATGGTAGACGTCATGAACGTGGACCGCCCTATGGCTCTCCAAGATATGCGTGTTGTGGGCACAGACTTTGCGGGAGTCGTGGAAAGCATTGGCGAGGAACTGAAATCTACGGAAGACCCGCGGGTGAAGATTGGCACGCGTGTTGCTGGGTTTGTTCAAGGTGGTATGTTGTTCTCACCTTCCGATCGTGACTGTGACTGAACTTATCCAGCAAACTCTTCCAACGACCGCCCCGGGGCCTATGCCGAGTATGTTGTAAGCGATTACGACTTGACTTGGAAGGTTGCTGATACCATGCCGCTGGAAAACGCCGCTACCATCAGTTTGTGTGGTCTCACTGCCGCACAAGGTCTCTTCTACCGCATGGGTTTCCCATGTCCGTTCTATGGAACGTCGACGTTCGGAGATGTCGAGGAGCCCGTGAACGTTCTGATCTACGGCGCCACAACCAATGTTGGTCTTTTTGCGGCGCAGCTAGTTCGCATCGCAGAAAAGACCGCCGGTAAAAAAATCAGGCTGATCGGAGTTGCTAGCACCGCTAAGCACGCGTCATTAAAGGAGGCACCATATCAATACGACATTTTGGTCGATTACAAACATCCTCACTGGCCAGAGAAGGTTCGTGAGGTGACCGGTGGAACTGGAGTATTGTACGCCATTGACGCAGTATCCGTTGGCTCTACAGTGGCAATGGTCGAAAGCACATTGAGCCCTTCCGGTAAATTTGCTGCCTATCGGACCCCAGCCACTGGTGGATTCGAGATGGATATCTTGAAGATCAAGCCCGTCGTTGGCCCAGTGTGGGAGGGACTCGGGGTTGAAATCGGTTATCACGGTAATCACATCTTCTCCAATTGCCTGGCCTGGTTTGAATTAATCTAATGTGTTTATAGGTGTAATTTTGCCCGCCAATGCCGAAGCAAGGACCTTCGCCGCTGCTTTCTTCAAATATATCAGCCGAGAATCTCCCTCTGGGCCGAACATTCTACAACCAGTCCCAGTCCGCCTTATGCCTGGCGCCTTGGACCAAATCGTTTCCGATGGCTTCGCTGTGCTTCGAAATTCATCGCTAGCATCCAAGGCTAGATCAGATCCGGGGGGAGAGACACATTTGTAGCCAATTAGCATGGAGAAGTTGGTATACCGTATATGAAAAGGGATGCCACGAAGTGTTGGAATGCAAACTTTTAATATCCGCCATGTTGGAAACCCTTTGGCGGAGCCAAGGCGGCTTATCCACGGGATCGTTGTCTTGAAGTCGAACAATTATTGCTGGAGAGACATCGGTCTCCACAAAACCATTGAAAGTCAATTATTTGCCATCCTCACTATTGAAGATCAACCAGCTTCGCAATATCGGGATATACATCATGCCTCCTCTGACAGGTAATAGGAATAGCCGCCCGACTCTTTGTGATGACTCCAGGCTCCAAAGTGGCATAAATAATATCCTCCTTTTCTTCTGTCTTTGCAACAATTTGACCCATCGGATCTGCAACCATACTATATCCCCAAGCTGGGTAAGAGGAGGCTGGATCTCCCGACTGCGAACACAGCATTGTATACACTTGGTTATCGACCGCACGGGCACGACCCAAAAGCTCCCAGTGAAGAGGGCCGGTGGTGGTGTTGAATGCTGAAGGGTAAATTAGTGCAAATGCACCCTGGCGCGATGCGATGGTGCTTGGCTCAGCGAACCTCATGTCATAGCAGATTCCAATCCCGATTCTACCATACCCCTCTAGGTCGACAATGGTGATTTTGTTTCCAGCAGATAGGGTGTCTGATTCACAGAACGAGATACCCCCGGTAACATTGATATCAAATAGATGCATCTTGCGATGTGAAGCTAGTAGTTTGGCCTGAGGCGAGTATACTGCGCATGTGTTGTAGATGTTGCCAGATAGATCACGCTCCGGAACACTTCCGCCGATGATAAAAGTGCCGGTGTCGGAGGCCATTTTTGATAGTGCAGCAAAGCTGGGTGACTCTTGAGGATCGATTGAGTGAGACAGAGGCTCTGCATATTCACGGAAGCTTGCTGTAGAGTAGGGGGAGTTGAAACACTCCGGGAGAACGATGAGAGAGGCACGCTCGGATGCTGCCTGGAGAACCTTTTCTCGGGCTTTTGCAAGATTGCGAGCTTTGTTTGGACCTGGATTTCTGTATAAGTATTTCTCAAACAAATCAGTAGGCTCGATGTTTCATACCACTTGATATTTGAATGCACGCCACTTTGAGGCTCTTTTTGAGAAGCCCTTCACCTGGATTCGAAATTTGCATAGTGTCAGATTGGAATGTTAACGCCTATCAAATCAATGACTCAGTTTATGTCTAATATACCGACAGAAATCTTCAAATGTCGGGCGAAATGATTACCCAAGTGGTGTTGGATGTTGCTCCAACCCCAACCTATACTTACCCCAACTTTTGGAGCAACTCCAACTCGACAAAATCTCCGAATTGTCTCCACTTTCCTAATGAGGTGTGCAGGAACGAAATGACACCTGAGAGGATATACACCGGGTGAGTTCCAAGCATTGATATGTGGCTCCTTGCTGTGGTAAAAATATTGTGGGGTCTAGATTTGCTGTTTCTATCGCTTTAATGCTTTGAAAACCTTTGAAAATAATAAAATATCCACGTGCCATTCACGAAATTCGCATGAGCAGTTTATACTAGAGCTTTTGTCAGAATTCTCACAAGGCTCTCATATCACGTCTACACCATGGCTGATATCAAAACATGCCCACCCCTCTCGCCAGATTCTATCCGAGCGGCACACGCTCTGATCGGCCCAAACATTCATCATACCCCAGTGGTAACTTCAGAGACCCTCAATCGCATTGCCTCATCTCCCCAGGCAGCATCTGCATTGAAGGGAACGGTATTCGAAGACCAGCGCCCTGCAAAACCAATTTTCCGTCTTTACTTCAAATGTGAAAACTTTCAGAAAATAGGCGCATTCAAAGCACGCGGCGCTTTCCATGCTTTGATGAGATTGTGTGATCAGATTGGTGTTGATGAAGTCCGCAAGCGAGGCGTGACAACTCATAGCTCTGGTAGAAGCCGCTCTGGTAGAAGCCATACACTCACATTGAAAGCACTGGTAGCTAACTCACATCTTCTGGCAGGAAACCATGCCCAAGCTCTCGCTCTCGCTGCTTCGACTTTGGGCGTGCCTGCTCATATCGTTATGCCTTCCATCTCGACACCTTCCAAGATTGCCGGCACCAATTCGTATGGTGCCCATGTTGTCTTCAGTGGCTCTACAGAGCCAGAGCGGGTGGCTGTCGTTCAAGATATAATCCGGCAGACGGGTGCCATCCTCATTCCACCTTATGACCACCCCGATATAATTCTGGGACAAGGCACAGCGGCACTGGAACTTGAAAGCCAGGTCATTGATTTGTTGAAACGATCCCCCGGCAAGGGCGACATTAAGAAAGATCACCCTCTCGATGCAGTATTGACCCCGCTGGGTGGTGGTGGTTTGCTGGGCGGAAGTGCGAGCTACTTTTCTCATACGCCATCGACTCGCGTTTTTGGTGCTGAGCCTTCGTTTGAGGGAGGTGATGATGGTCGGCGCGGACTTGCTGCTGGATCTAGAATCCCTACTGTTAGTACCCTTACTATCGCGGATGGATTGCGGACGCCAGTTGGGGAGATCAATTGGACTGTTATTTACGATAACAAAAAGGTTCAAGGGATCTTCGCTGTGACGGAGAATCAAATTAAAGAGGCGATGAAACTGGTGCTCGAGAGAATGAAGCTCTTCATTGAGCCAAGTGCTGCTGTACCCGTCGCTGTGGTTTTGTTTGCCGAGGAGTTCCGAAGGATAGTTGAAAGGGAGGGTGGAGAGGAGGGTTGGGATGTTGGGGTTATTCTATCTGGGGGAAACACCACAGTGGAAGCTATACAGAAGCTGTACAGAGAGGATTAGAGGGAAACCTGAATGCCAAATTGATTGCTTGCGTTTGACTTATCTTTGACTTATCCTTGACTCATTTTGGTCATAATTGGAAGATCACCTTGGAGAATTCAATCGGCACTTAAAATGTAAAAATATTACCTGAGTTGACTTTTGGATGCCAAATACGACAATATGAAGCAATTAAACTTCTTTGTTCTTCAAATATTTGCGGAAATGCCTTGGATGAGCCTATTATGAGGGCCAAGAGAGAGAACCAAGAGAAACACTTAAGTCGCCAACACAAATGGACTATTACAAATGGGGTGTGCGAGAACGACACGCCTGGCGACACTTGAAGCGGCCCACCTCCGTGGATACCGAGCAGCCGAGACTCGCTCTTGGGCGCTCAATGAAGACTAGCCGTGTATGTTAATTGGAGTATACTCCAATCTCTTTGCATATCTTTACAACTGGAGCTTCCAGTTCCCAAAGTTGTACTTGGGTATATTTAAGGCTCACATGCAACCTTGGAATAATCAAATCCGCTTGCTTCTTTCATTCTCTCCGTCACATAAATCAGATATATCCAAAATGTCTGCCCAGCGCCAGGTTGTGAACAGTGACCAAGCACCTCCCCCACGCCCTTTCTACAACCAGGCTGTCATTGCCAATGGCTTTGTCTTTTGTTCCGGTCAGCTTCCTAAAGATTCTAACGGCAAAATTGTTCAAGGGAACGTTCAGGATCGAGCTGTATGTGTTAATACCCATGATCTCTATCCTATTCTGCTAGTAAATAGCATGACAATGCGGTGCCTAGCTGATAAGAATGACAGGAGCAATGTATCAAAAATCTGAAGGCAGTTCTTGAGTCTGCAGGATCTAGTCTGAATAAAATGGTCGAAGTCAATGTCTTCTTGGCTGACATGGAAGACTTCGAAAAGATGAATGAAGTTTATTTGAAATGGTTTGGAGAGATTAAGCCTGTCAGAACGTGAGTTATGTTGACTCCATACATTACGGTGGCGTGTCCTAACAAGGCTGGATGTAGTTGCGTGGCGGTCAAGTCCATTCCAGAGTACACAGACGTTGAGATGAAATGTGTCGCTCTCGTATAGTGGCGACGGAATAGAAGACATTGATTATGTTGGCGGTGCTTGTTCAATTCTGCGCTTGTGAGAAAAAGCGGTCGCTCGCATAGAAATCTATAGTCTTCAGCAAGAGATGATCCATTTTTTGATGCCTTCCAAGATTTGTGAGAACCTTGTCCCTGATACATTGAATCTCCGAGCTTGTGCGAGAGCGCCATACTATTTCCTAGCACGATCAACTTGAAAGCATTGGGAGGAAGAGCATAAAATTCTCTATCTTCCCATCTCTTGGCAAAGGGCCTAATCTGAAAGGCAATATAGACCGCCCTAACAGCCTTAGAAGAGGTAAGCATTGACATGCAAAGTGAAAAAAACCAAGTACTTACCTGAGTCGGCGGCATCAGAGGCTCATGAGATCTGGGTTCATGTGAGATACTGGTGGCTGAAAACCATCCCAGCTAAGGTCAAATAGAGCGTCCAATGGATCCACACTCCCCGGCATATCCCTCAAAAACCCAAAGTCTCCATGATCGTTTATATCAAAACCAGCGGTGCTGGGTGATTCAAAAGTGAAAGTGAAATCCGATGGATTTGTTGAGTGGACATGCTCCGCACTGATCCCAGGAGAGGATTCAGTTGTCTCGCTATTTTTCTGATGAGATAGTCGAGACAAGATGTTTCGAAGACGACTGGCATAGACCTTAGCAATGTTGCTGTAAGTGCTAAGTGTCTCGAGGCAGTTGGTACAGCTTTGCCAGGCATCGGCCAGAGTTTCTTTCTTGAAAGTATATGCCAGATTCGAGGTTTGGGCAAGAATGAGAATCACGCCAGCTGTGAAGGTATCTAGTGAGAGGTTAGAGGCGCATTCCAAGGTTGGATAGTGCGGATCGGAGGCATACAGAATATATTGTACCACCACACACTTGCGAGCTCTGCCTGGGAACTCTCATTCATGAGGTGTGACAGCTCAATCGTAGTCTCAACGCAGTAAGCTGCACAGCTCATATCGAGGTCTCGGGACAGTCGACTTCTCATTTCATCCAGCGGCGTTTCTGATGCCACTTGAGCATGTTTTTCCTGTGACAAACGACTCTCCCGATAAAGTCGGGATAAGGACGGCCTGAGAAGTAATATTCTTAGATGCAAGAATCTGAACAAGATTCTCGATGAGCTGCTATCACAAACCTCGGGCTATCAATGTCATACCTTGCTTGGAGAAGGATCCTCTCGCGGGAGAATTGCTCGGCGGGCCCCGAAACTAGGGCAGACTTTTTCCATTGCAATGCAGCTGGAACATGGGACAGAAAAGCCACCAATTCTGCATCTAGTCTGGTCACGGCTTGAGGGCGATTATCCTCGGGGTCCAAATACGCTTGAGTACCAATCACGTCTGAGTTCTCCCAACGCTCGTATACTTCCAATAGGACCTTCCTCAAGATTATGTGTAGCTTCAGAGTTTGTACAAGAAACTCCGTCTTGGAAGTTGGTCGAGACAATGCGTAAGGCTGCCTGGTGGATGGGTCCAAATCTTCGTCATCGAAGGCCTCTGGCAAGGGTACTACTGATCCATGAATCATGGGCGGACGACCTAACATCATAATACTTGCCCTTAGAACAAACGTCAGCTGCGAATGATGACTAGGTGGGGGGTTTACTTACAGGTCTAGCATAATGCAACCATGCCAAACTCGTCTCCTCATCTGAATTTCAGCTGGATGGCGACTATCGTCCGCTTTCAGCGAATGCATACCAAGACCTTGGGCCATTCTACACGCGAGACCAATAACATTCCAGCATTTTGAAGGAGACTGGCCTCCTTGGAGGTAGAACGCAGTAAGCAAGAAGGTCTGGACAAGGGCTAGATCACCCGCGTCTTGATCAACGTCATGCAGACAGTTCCGCGAGCGCTGCAAAAGCTCAGCAGACGTTACTTGACATGTTGTAGGATCTAGCCGAGCGAAATGGCACCCAAGCGCCATAATGATGTTCAAGGCACTAAGAAATATCGAGGTTTGCACGTCCGGGTGTCCCAGGCCAATCCGAGGTGGCGGTATCTCTTGATCTGTAACGGTGCCGTGGGCCCAAATATTCCTATAAGCACGCAAGATCGACGGCTTATGGATGAAGGGATAGAGAACGTGAAATTTGTCAAAATAACTCGTCATAAGATGGTCCGCCAGCGGACGAGAGGGTAGATCAAGAGGGCTGAGATTCCGAGTTGCTTTGTTGGGGAGTGTTGTACTTCTGCCTAGAGTCTTATGATGTAATGATCCAGGGACTGGGATTTGTTTCAAGAAAGAGGCGATTGACGAATCGCCGAAAAACTCCCTTCGATGATCAGGCACACTAGAGGGTCGGTCAGATGTTATACCCATTGCCGTAAGCTGTGGCTGGTTTAAACCCTCTGCAATAGAATGGGAGCTTTCATCTTCAATCTCTGGTTGAAGACTTCTCACCGTCAGCGGCATTGTGTTTGTAAATGAAGGATGGATTGGAATCTCGTTATCTTGAGCTCTTGCCGAAATGCCGACAGGAGCCCCAAGAGACTCGCTGTGGATAGTTGCAGAGGAGCCGTTGGGAATCAATCCCTGCTCTTTGAATGATTTGGATGCGTATATGTGCCTGAAGGTCTGTGAGTGTAGTGGAACACGGGAAACATCGCTCGCTTTACCTGTTGTCAAGGCGCCTCCTATGATTCCCGGGATAGCGGCAGGGGGAGTGACGCCGCTCGCAGGGGGCGCAGCTAGGTTCAACACCATCGCATCGGATTTTCCGCCTTCGACATGAATCGCAAGCGAGCGCAATGTTCCTCCGACTGCGGTTTGGCTAGAGATCACTGAGCAATTTGGAACTCAGATATAGCCAAGAGATCAAACAAACCATCATCAGACTCCATATGAGCTCATACCACTGGCTTTGAGCTAGTTACCTTAGTTGGGGAGGACCGGCTGTGAATACTTCTGAGTCCAGGAGGTCCCGGTAGCAGACGGAGATGAGGGTCGAGGTAATTACTGTCCGATACAGGTTCCGTGTTTTTAAAACCACGTGACTGCGGCAAACAACAAAAGTTACAAGATTTCCGATACGATATGACCAGCCCCGGTATTTTTGAAGACTGTACGCTTCTTCTCTTCACCGAACCCACTCGACAACTGCTCGACAACTGCTTCATACCAGAAAATGAATGGCAATCCTGTTCAAGGTGCTCCACCTTATCTTGAGTCTCAAAAACTTGGTTTTCTTGCCGGAATTCCGAGATGTTGAGTATATAAATCAGTCTTCGCATTGCTGCTCGAGAGTATTGTTCACGTCAACACAACAGCTTCGCCCTATCACCCAGAAACCGAAGATCTCAATCCGCCAGAATGAGTGACCCCATTCAGACTGATGTCATCATCTGTGGCGGTGGTCCTGTTGGGCTTCTGACTGCCTATTCCCTTGCCCTCCAGGGCGTCAGCTCGGTGATTGTTGGTAAGATATATTGACCTGCTGTCAGCCAAACAGTACCAAGCTAATCTCAACTGTCTCTTGTTTAGAAAAACATCATCCAGACGAGCAGGCGATGTATGGTCGAGCAGGAACCCTCTACCCACGTACCCTTGAAATGCTCGACCAGCTCCAAGTCCTGGACGAGATGAACCAGATTGGCTACATCGCTCGACAGGCTGTAACATTCAAAGATGGCCAGCTTGTGACTTCTCGCGGATGGCATGTTATGTACAATCGAATGCAAGAGACGCTTCTGGATTACGTTTTGAACATTCGCCAGAAGTTCTCGGAGGACGTTTTCAGGAAGGAATACAAGCGCCTCGGGGGCGAGCCATACATCGGTTGGCGTTTGGATGACTTCGCAGTTTGTGAGGAATCTCAGGATGACTACAAGGTCAAGTCGACCATCACGGAGGTGGACTCGGGCAAAGAGTTGACCGTTTTGAGGTAAAGACCGCTCCTTGAAATCTATGGTCTTGGACAAAGAGCATATGACTAACATCTCGCAGTAAGTACATTGTTGGTGCCGATGGAGGTCACTCTATCGTGAGACGTGTGGCCGAAATTCCTTTCCAAAGCGATCCCACAGAATACAAATGGGTTCGCATTGATGGCCATTTCAAGACCAACATGCCGGATGCCGATGTTGGATTTGCCTCGATCGAGTCGAAAAGCCATGGAAATGTTCTTTGGTGTCAAATGGACCACGGTGTCAAACGAGTTGGTTTTGCGATGACGGACGAGATGCTGGCACAATATGGTGAGAACATACAGCTTGAGGACGCAAAGAAGGAAGCTGTGAAGGCCATGGCTCCATTCTCTTTGGAGTTTGAGGATATAACTTGGTGGACTCTGTATAGGTAAGCGTCGGCTTCTTTTGCACCAAACATTCTTCTCGCTAATCTGCTGAATAGCATCACCCAGGGCGTTGCCGATACCTTTGTTAAGGATAGCCGAGTGATCCTAGCCGGTGATGCTTGCCACAGACACTCTTCTGGTGCAGCGCAAGGTATGAATACCGGAGTGCACGATGCGGTGAACCTGGCCTGGAAGTTGGGAGGTGTAGTGAAGGGTTGGTACACCACTGAAACGCTTCGGACGTACGACACCGAGCGGCGGCCTGCGGCGCAACACCTGATCGATTTGGACAGATCGTTCTCTGCTGCTATCTCGGGGGTGGTTCCAGAGTGGTACAAAGACCAGAGCATCACGGCAGATGAGTTGTTTACCAAGACATTTGATGAAAATGTTGGATTCAACATTGGGTTGGGAATTCACTATGATGAGAACCTCATCAACCTTCCACCAACTGCAACTATGGTCACGGCAGGCTGGAGAGCACCGGATGCAACCGTCTATGCACCTGGCTCGAAATTCCCCACCCGACTGTTCCAGCTTATGCCCAACACGGGGGTTTGGTCTGTCATCGTTTTGGCGGGTCATCCTGACCAGACTCATGCCAAACTCGTGTCTGCCGTGGATGAATTGGGTCAATTAGGCAAGACCTTGCCTTCTGGTATGCTCCGGTTTATCACAGTGGTTGCTCAAGCGTTGGCTGGTGGTGATCAGTGGTACCGCATCCCGAAGATCGGTCGACTGTACTACGATCCGGCACGATCTGCTCATGTGGCATACAGTGTTACCGACTCGACAGGCGCGGTGGCAATCGTTCGGCCCGATGGGATATTGGGACATGCTGCTCGCCTGGATGATTTGAGCTCTATTTCCAAGTATTTCAAGGCGTTCATCTCCAGGGAGTAGAATTGTTGATAAGTTGAAAGTGAATATCGCCTAGATTTAGACTCAAGTAACGAAGCATCACTCCTTTCCTCTGATAAGCCGCTCCCATGTATTAAACCTTGGAAGACTGGACGAGAGATAACAAGATTAGAAGCATCATTCATGCTAAACAAAGTACACAATAAAGGTGGTTAAAAGGAAAAGAAAGTGTCGGTGATTAACTCCTACCTCCAATAGCTCAACTGGAATACAACAGGGAATACGCCTTGCCCCCGGGCTTGAGTCCTTCTCTGAAGGTGTATGCGCTCCACTGTGCTGGTAGATTGATGCTTGCGCGTTCGAGCCTTGACGGAGTCGATCGGAATTTCGAGTCGATCGGAATTTCCTTTCAATCCTGAAGTCGCTTCATCCCTGAAGTCGCGTTCAATGCCTGTCATCTACCGGTTGGTGACCCTCGCGGTTTAAATACTGGCGGGCACAAGCCCCTCGACGAAGCAGGCATAGCCGCTCGTATGAAGCTCGTGAAGGAAGTTACAATCTTTGGAACCCCAACAAGAGGTATAGCTGCCTCTTGATATATTCCTTTTTTTTAAAAAATGGTAATTTTCCTTTTTGCATCTATTTTTCCTCTCGCAGAATGCTCACGGTCTGTCTTCCAAAAATTCCTCCCAGCCCAACCTCCATCCTCATTCCCATACCCAATACAAACAACCCAATGCCAACCACCCACTCCGCAAATAAAATCGGCAATGCACGATACAAATGCGGGTTACAGCCCTGTGTCCAGATATCCATCATAATCTCGTAAAGCCCATGCGCTGGAAAGATATACCCCAATCGATAGAATCCTGGAGACTGCTCAAACGGCCCAATAGTACTCGTCACGTTCATGATAATCCAGGTTAGGACAAAGTAGGGCATAAAGGGCATAGGGAAAATTGCTGTTGCGAAATCAATTATCAGAAAGTGAACGTGCATGGCGAGCCATATAGCCATCCATGTTAGAGCGAACTGCCCTCCGGTAACACTCCAGTCTTCGCGAAAGGCCCAGATGTAGCCTGACATGACGAGTGAGGCAAAAAATGTATAGATGATCGATATGAAAAGACGGAGCAGGGTGTTCTTCCTGGGCGAGAGCATGCTGAAGAGTTTATTTTGGAGTGTGACGCCGTTGAGTGCCATTATGAAAAAGAACTGGATGATTATAGGCATGACCATGGACACGGTATTGTAGTAAAATCGGACACCTTGAGGCATTGGGTGAATATCTGTTGAGGTTGCAGAGACCGGGTCGAGGATTGTTTGCGCGATGGAACGATCGGAGGTATTGATCCAGGGAAGGAGATCTGTGCCGTTTGTCTTTTTGTATACCGCGGCAGCAGCTTCTGTGATCTGGAGTAAATTTGAAAAGACGCCCTGAGCGTAGGCGGGATAACGAGTGCTGCTCCAGATGTAGCCCAGCGCCTTCGAGCTGTCGTATCCTTGTGCAACTTCGGAGGAAGATAGAGCAGCTGATAATTTGGACGATGCATTTGGAGAAGCATAAACGGCACCCCAGTATTCACCACTGCAGATGGCTTCATGAATATGTTTCTGCGTCGGGTAGGTTTGCCTGTTTTGCTGAATGACCGTAGGGAAGGAAGGGCCTTTCAGTGCATTATATGCTGTCATCACAGACTCGCCCACTGATCCTTGGTCGTAGTCGACGTACAAAAACTTCATTGAGCTATAACGCGAGCCGTCATGATAGGCAGAGCCGTAGAGGTAGCTCATGTTGCCGAGAATGAGCAGCTGCAGGCTAACTGCGGCGCCAATTATAGCAATGAAGAAAGATTTGAGAGACATGATCCCCAGACAAGAGCAAAAAAAGAAGGTAAAGGGGGAAATGATTGGGTGTATTAAGAGCACTTAAATGGGAATCACGGGTAATTTATGCGATATACCTAAGAGTCGCCATCGGATCTCGGAGATGCCTTATGTAGACACAATCCAATAACCCGAGTAATGAAAAAGAAAATACTAAAAAATGAGCCGTATAAACTCGTACGGATCTTCCCCTTGACCACCCGTTGGCCATATGCACAAAAGGGTCCGATGAGGTAAGCGGAACCTGTTGCCCAGCCCAGGTGGAGCCCCGGAGGTTCAACTTAATTTTTCTTTATAAATAATAAAACCTAAAAACTCAATCTTATATTTATAAAAAAGAATACATTTCAATAATTCTCCCTAGATAATATCCCTGATAGCAAATCAACCATTTATGTACTTGAGTACAGATCAAGTGCTTCTTTTGCGTCAGAAAAATTCCCTCTCCAGCAATCTAATATGATTTTCCCGCCGAATAAACTAGACACATCGGGGAATATGTGGTTTTTGTATCTCGATTCAATCTCATGGTCCACCTCGTGCTGTCGTAAGATTTGTGCTTTGATCACATCCGGGTTATCGGACTTAGGCCCGGCAAGTTCGCTGTATGGGGCCTTGCCAGCGACTAGCTCGTATAGTGTAGACCCTAGAGCAAAGATATCGGAAGTGTCAGTGTTTGGAAGGTCATAATCCCGTGGCAGGCAATGTGATGCTTTTTCATAGCCCAGTGATAGATGACCCGGGCACTGAGAAGAGTTAAAGTCGCCGAGTCGTACATTGAATTCGTCATCAAGGAAAAACTGCCGCAGTGCAAGGTCGGAATGAATGATACCATGGCTGTGAATAACGACAATAGCTTCCAGGATCTGCTGAAACCATTTTGATTGAAGTCCAACAGCGACCGTGTTCTTCTGACAATAATTCACAAGGTCACCATGTCGATAGTATTTGATATCGATAAAGTCGGATCTACCTCTAGAGAGGCATTCAGCAATTCGTGGATGAACGCCGAGAGTGTTATAAACCATAGCTTCGCGGATGATCGGTTGCATATCTTCTTCACTCTCACTGCGAGGGACTTTTCGGATGATCTTGTTGTCCAAAAGGTATACTTCAGCAAATATTCCAATGATCAAGAGCTTGTGATTATCCGGGCGTTCGGCGGCCCGTCGAATAGTAATCTTGTGAGTGCCATCTTCAGAAGTCTGGCCGACGCCCTAAAGAGTCAAGTGAGACAGAAGTCCCTGAATTGAATGAGTCAAACTCACAGACTGCAGTTGCTCTTCGTCATTATAGCAGTCTCCCTTTCTTGCTGTTGGAGAAAATGAAAGGAACAGGCGTCTAAGCGGCCAGAAAGCAAAAATGGAAATATTCGAGGTCAAGTGCCAAATTGAGGACCATATAGGCCAGTGCAACCATCGCAATGCCCTCATGATAGAACGAGCAAGGAGTAAAAAAAGATGGTATAAGGCGAGATTTCCCATGAGAAATCACCTGGGCAAGGGGGGGTGATGACTACTCGCCCAGAGAACGGAGTGGAGTGGACAGGGCTAGCGCTGTGACTTACTGGAGGCCAATCTCCAGGGTCTTGGCATGAATAACCTCCTTCCCGAGCCGAGTCCAATCAAGTAAGCGGAGAGTGAGTCCCCGAAACCTCTCAAGTTGTACTATGTATGTATTCGTAGTCCGCACTTTTATGCACTTCCAAGATTGTCGTTGTAAATCGAGGCCCACAATTGACTTGAAATGTTCTCCACAGGGTCCGATGATGTAAGCGGAGGTCAGGTGGACCTCGGGATCTCCGAATTGATATCTAGTGCTGCAGATCCATATCTCAGTCGGATGATGCCGAATATCCGCCCCTTTGAGCTTGAATTTGACGATTTGAAGTATTTGTATGTTCTAGCATGGTCAGTAGGATGGGGCTACATCGTCAGGGGAATTGCCGACTATAGTTTGGATGTAGTCCGGAATCGTACAAGTCTTGCTCTGAAGTTCCACATTGTACAACCCATAATCCGGTGGCATTCACGGCGAATAAACTTTGGTTGTGCTTTATGGGCTTGCGGCTTCGCTTTTCATTCACGGGTTTTGTTTTTGTTTTCGCTTCCTTTGGCGGACTTCTGGTGAAATCCATACGTGCTACGGTGCTAGTTTGATTTTTCTTAATCTTGACCTTTTCTATCAAAAAGCCAGTAAGACTCGAGATGCCACTGAAAATTGTCGTTGTCGGTGCTGGTCTTGGGGGTTTGGGTGCTGCCATAGCACTGAATCGTCAAGGGCACAATGTCACAGTCAGTATCTCTCTCATGGTTGATGGAATCCTCATCTAACACAGCTGCAACCAGGTTATTGAAAAGTCTGGCTTTCTCAATGAGGTCGGCGCTGCCATCACCGTAGCCCCGAATGCCACTCGTATTCTGAAACGGTGGGGATGTAATCTGGACTGGCTATACCCTATCCACTGCGAGAAACTGCAGGTCTGGGACAAGAATGGCAAGCCTCTGCGGACTCCCGTTGTAAGTTTACTTCCCATTGATCTTCAAGATCATAGTTTGACGGTGGTAGGTCACTGAAAAGCACCGGAAGGCTTTGAATGTGCAGGAAGAGTGGCTTCTCACTCACCGGGTGGACTTGCACAACGCTCTACGATGTACTGCCGCCCAGGTAATTGACGACAGAAAGGTGGATATACGGCTGTCCTCACAGGTCTTATCAGTGGTAAGCAGAACCCTCTCGGTAAAACCGAATAGCTAATTGAGTGGAATCGAAGGATGTGGGAAAGGGCGAAGTCGTGCTTGAGGATGGAAGCAAGTACGTTGGTGACCTTGTCGTCGGTGCCGATGGTGTCCACGTAAGTCGCACTCAGATCAACATTGACACGGGTACTAATCAATGAACAGTCTCGCTGCGTGGATGCCATAGCGGGAGAAAGGAGAGAGACTGTAAAGACTGGTCAAAGTTGCTTCCGATTCCTGGTGCCCATTGAAAAGATGCAAGAGAATCCACTCACGTCCAGTATGCTTGAAAGGATTGGGCTCAATGGCATTCATGTTTTCACCACAGAGGACCGCCGCCTGGTGGTTTATCCCTCCCGCGGGGGACTTTTACTCAATTGCGCCGGCATCTACCCGCCTACTTCAGCGGAGGAGAGTGGAGAGAATAATCTGTGGCATAATACAGGCAGCGTGAGTCAGTTGGTCAAAACCTTCCGCGGTTTTGGCGAAGACCTGCTCGAGATGTGTGGAATGGCCGAGGATGTCAAGCTTTGGAGTTTGGCATCCCGAGACCCAACGCCTACATTTGTGAAGGGCAAGCTTGCTTTGATAGGCGATGCAGCTCATCCAATGCTTCCACACCAGGGTCAAGGCGCTGCGCAAGCTTTTGAAGATGCAGCCGCCCTGGCGGGAGTGTTGACGGCGGACACAACCCCAGAACAGTTGTCGCAGCGCCTTGAGATGTACAACAAACTTCGGTATTCGCATTCGGTAACAGTGATGATAATGTCACGTACAAACGAGGAACGGCGGGCTGAAATGCTGGATGAGCTGCGGCGGTTTATCCCTGATGCCGAGCTACCTAAAGACATGTTTGCCTTTACGTGGCCCTCCGATCCGATGACAGAGGCAGCGCAGCTCGTGGCAAGTGACTGATATCAGATTTGATCGGATCGCGAAACTCAGCTCCAGGAACCCATATGTAACCAGTATAGGGATAACGATTCTGGACGGGAGAAACCCATGGAGTACAAAGTACTGGAGATATTTGTACATTCAAGGTTGTACCTTCCTGAGTTAAAAAGAATAGCCAGTAACCATGGAATACGGTTACATACCCTATATCATCACAGAGAGAGTCAAGAGAGTCAAGAGAGAAAGTCAAGAGAAAAGGGAAAAGACATAGAAGTAACAGTCCGCTCGATGTGGGAAGTACAGAATGATCCATGGGTCGAACATTTGGATCCATGGATCCACAGGCAGTAAGATGACTAAGAGATAGTCACGTGGAGTGGGCGGTGAGGCTCATACAACGCGGACGCTCTGGAGTCTGGACTAAAGACTCCTGCGCACTCTATACGGAGTACTGCATACAGAGTACCCTAGTACTACCTCAATTGTCTCCTATGTCTCACCGTCCCAAATTCACGGCCTGTGATGTCTGCTATCGACGGAAGGTACTGCCCTGGTGTCCCATGGTGAATCCCAATTCTAAGTCCTTCAGATTAAATGCGACAGCGGATGTCCATGTAATTGGTGTTTTCACCAACAGTCAGAGTGTACATACATCAGGGCAAGCCCGCGCCGGCGGAAGCGTAATACAGCCAAGCCAGTTGGTTTAGTAGAACGCATAAGACGTATCGATGAGCGCAAGGGAAACACAGGCTCAGATGGTTGGTCTTGGTCTTCCTCTCAACTTCTTCGAATGTCCCACTGATAACCTTCAAAGTCGGAGATACCCCAGAGGGCCCTCAGTCTACTCCAGTTATACCACCAAGAATGGTTGACCTTACGCGGAGTGACGATGGAACATTTCGACCTGGAGTGCCATTCGGCTTACCCGAGGGATTCCAATGGATTTGGTCCCAAACCGGGCACTCTGTTCCTCATCCATCCTCCAAAGAGGCACCCTGGGAAAGGCCACGCCGCTCGGCAATCAGACCACGATGGACCTCGCCGGAATTGCCAGATAGGCTGCTGCTCAAGAGCTTCCTCGAGGTCTACATGCGCTCTCCAATGCGCCGGATATTTCCAGTCATTGATCCGGCATTCTTTCCTCAGACTATAGAAGCAGCCTATTCGCATACCAACCCGCCAAATATCCGGAATCACAGTGCTCATGCCTGTATTCTCACCTTTATGGCTCTGGTTTCCTCTCTGCACCCTTTTGATCCAACCTACAATGGGGCTCACCTCCCTTCTATACCTCGAGATTCGTATGTTGCACATGCAAGTACCCTTCTACCAGCTATCATCCAGGGGCCTCTGAATCTTGATTCTCTACAGGCTGCTATTTTACTTGTAAACCGCCCTTGATCTCGATGTTTCACTGTACTTGGCTGACAACTTCTCGCACGCCATGCTAGGCACTCCTCAGCATCCTCGCTGGCGAAATACAAATAGGAGTCCACTATACGTCGATTGCCTCGCGCCTTTTAATAACGGCTGGAGCTCACACAATGTCAGACGACTTCAATTGCAGTAGTACTACACCATCAACCCTCAGGCAACATCTCCGGACTCTATTTTGGTTTTGTTACACACTCGACAGAGATCTATCCCTGCGTACAGGGCAACCGCACTGTCTTAGGGACGAAGACTGCATCCTCGATATCCCCCCGGTGTACAAAGAGAACCTCCACTTGTGTCTAGACCACTCTCCAGGAAGCGCCGACACAAACCTTGGCAGTCCTATTTTCCCATGCGACCTTCGTCTCAGCAAAATAAAATCACGAACCTTCGACGCGCTCTTCTCCCGCAGGGCTTTCCAAAAATCCGATGTCGACCTCCTTCGCTCGATCCGCGAACTAGATGAAGAGCTTGAGTGTTGGAGGATGTCGTTACCAGAAAATCTCCGCCCGCAGCTCTCTTTCGCACCAGGACATACCAAGCCAAAGAACACATACAGAGTCTTCGCACACATGAATTATTATTGTTGCGTCAACCTTATTCACCTCGCCGGTGGGCGGTGTAGTGCCTGGCGCTCAGGATCCACAACAGTGAGAGAAACATTAGATGGCATTCAACTGAGCCTGACACTCTCTGTGGAGGCAAGCCGTTCTCTTCTGCTCTTTCTAGACGACTCAGAGGCCCGGATCAGCGCTGCGAGCTTCTGGTAGGTCGATTCTTAAATTGCAGTCTTTGATTCTACCTCTCTAACATCATATCTAGGAGCCTGCTCTTCTACCCAATGTCCGCAGCTATAACCATCTTCTGCAACTTGCTCCAGAATCTCCATGCGGACAGTGTGAAACGCGATCTGCATCTTTTAACCCTGGCCGAAAAGACTACAGCTCGTCTCTTCCTGAGACGTGATAGTGTTTTTGATCGAGTAAGTGATTTGCAGCCCGTGACTGCATCCATTTCTGCATTAAGAGAACATGCTGAGAGGGCTAGTTTGGGGAAGTTGGCTGATTAGCAGTGGTGTATATATTTTGCCATCGATTTTTACTTTCTGTGAGGCACTTGGAGACATCCAGATAAAAAGAAAGAAAGACGGATACTTAAGTACAGCTTTAGAAAGAAAGGGAACACAATCTAAGACCTGAATGTTGCCTTGTCTGGCTTCTGGCAGGCAGAGAACTGAGACCTGAATTACCATCACATAGACTAAAATTCTTTGCAAAAAAGAAAAAAGAAGTGCCCGGTCCTGGATTCGAACCAGGGTCTCTCGAAAGGCAGGCCACCACACGGTTCAGAACCGGGATGGCTTAGAACCGCCCCCGCAGCGCCTTTTCCACTGGGCCAACCAGGCTTTTTATATTTGGTACAGGTGGATCTTGTTACATATCCAACCAATCCTCATCGTTTCCAAGCTTCACTGCCCCACCGGTGCTGCCAACGCGGCCGCTCTGCCCTTTCGTTCCAAGGTTGCCATCATGCATTCCAAGGTTGGCGGTTACGATAACATTGTGGATAATGCTACATATGTACGGAGTAGTCAGGCCGGGGGTTTTTTTTTGAATGCGCTAGGTTACAGCCAGGTGACCTCTACGTGACCTTATTCCATGCCTCGCTCCAAGTTGAAGAATGAATTCAACATTAAATTCCACAATAAAATCTATCAACACGTCATGAATTAAACATAAAGAAACAATAACTAAGTACCGCTGCGTGTGTAAACATAAGAACCAAGAAAGGCCACAGAAGTAGGCCAGAACGCAGAAAGTAAACCTATGTACGTGAATGGACCAGAATCAAAAAACCAGAGAAAAGGTCTTGAGAATGAGGTTCGTTTGCTATTCGCACCCGGAGGCAGACCGTCTCATGAATCGTTAGGCAAATGCAGGGAGATTAACGTCTTTATCCCCGGGCATTGTACTTCTCGTTGAAAGCATTGACAGCTTAAATATCCGTTAGCTTGATTCTTTCCCCTTCAAATAGATCAGCACTTACCGACGGCAATCTGCCTGTAGAGCCAGTTGCGCGAGCTCTCGTCTTGCACGGGAATGAAAGGTCCGTTGGCACCACCCTTGAGAGTGATACTCATTCCGGTGCGCTCTTTGGAGATGGTTTGAATGTCGGTGAGACGAATATCCCACTCGGTGTAGAGCTTCTTCGTTCGGACGAGCATTATGCGGGCGTAGGTCAATAGGACCAGCATGTCCCGACCGGGGAGTTCCAAGTGAGCAATGTAGTCTTCGTTGAAGTATTTGCCATCGTCCGTGGTCTTGAGCCAGAATTGACCGAGGGCCTCCCGCTGCGAATACGGGCGCACGATGCCATCTGTACCAATGAAGCGAGTAAGTCGGACACGGTCGAGACCTTCGGCATCGAAAACGGTGGTGGTGTTGCGAACACCCTCTGCAAGATCTGATTTTATACTGTCAGTGAAAAGTCCCAAAGGGAAAACCAAAAGCAGTCCAACTTACTAGAAGCAAGATCAAATGCACCGATGGCAGGTTTAGTAGCCAAACCAAGGACTCCCTTTCCAACACCCTTGAAGAACCCTTGGATGCCTTCTTTCTCGGCGCCTTGCAGTGGATGGCGCGCTAAGCCGCCAATTCCACTCGCCAGACTAGTAGCAAATGCATTGCCACCAGCTGTGATACCATAAAGAGCGTGCTTGGGACGATTGCGAACCTTGGACATTCGGCGCTGGTTCTGGAACTCTTTGTCAAGGGTGGCAGCCGCAAGACCTTTAGACATACTACCAGTGAGCTTGGCCATACTATCGGAGAATCCAAAGACGGATTTCTTGACAAAACTGGTGGCACCCTTGGCGATGCCGATACCTAGTTCCTGAGGCCGGTCGGTCATGACCAATCCTTGATAAGGCTCATAGAAAATGGCAGCAACGCCGGAGCTGACGTTATTGAACAATCCGACCGGGTTGCCCAAGAAGTCAGCCGAACCAAGAATGATATGGATTTGGCGGAGGAATTCTTGCGTGTAGTGTGCACGAACGTTGCCAACTAATCTTGGGAACGAGACACGAGCATTCTCAAGCATCAGTGCGTTGAGACGGACGGGTGCATCGTTGACATTACCCATGGACATTGTCATAACATTGACAAAGAACATCAGGGGGTTGGAGGGTTGCATGGCATCTTCCACATTGACGCGCTCGGTGCGCATGAACGAGATATCCATTTGCATTGGTTGGAGGTGGAGGAGCTCGAAGTAAACATCCTGTCCGTTATCCGATTGTTGCGGCTCGGGAATATTGAGATCTTCATCGCACAGCTTGCCTTCCTGCTCTTCGGTCCACGAAGCACCGGGAATCTTGACAAAGTCAAGCATGGCAAAAACGAAATCTTCGTCCAATTCAAGCGTCATCTGCTGCAGTAGCAAGGTTGCGTACTTGATGTACAGAACACCGTACGAGTCGTCCTTGACTCGTGTGACCATTGCATGGAAAATCGGGTGAGCTTCCATCTCTTTGCCAGTCTTTGGAACAACACTAGGGTAGAGCAAAATTGGGAAGATACCACCGTAGAGCTGGTTGTCAATCTGGATCCACTTGATCGTGGTGTTGAGAGTCTGGTAAAGTCTGGACTCTCTGAACTTGATCTCAATCTCCCGGAACGTGAGGTACAGCAGTTCCTTTAGATTCTGGTTGATCAAAGAGATTCCAATTCCACCTAGACGGAGCTGGGCCTTGAAGTTGACGTCTGAGTTCATTTCCTTGACTTCGAAGCCTGTGTTTGTGCCACTCTGGGAGGATTGTCCTCTTTGCTGCTTGTACATACTCTTTGACGGCTTGAAGTTGGACAGCACAAGCGTCTGGGTGGGACCATCGGCAGCAATATTGATGTCAATGATCTTCTGGTATCCACCAGGCTGCGAAGGCGGGATCCGCATGGGAATCAAATTTCCTATTTCGGCAAGCTTGATATGGCGCTCCTTTCCTTGGCAAGTGAGCACAAGAGACTTGTTTTTGGTGGCCGGGTAGTCCCATGCATAAGGCATGATGCTTCGCGGTGGGATTCGGTATCGGATCGGTCTCCAGCCACTGGTGTGGTCATCTTCATCTTCATCCTCGATATTAGGATTGGCTTGGTAGAAAATGAACTCTGTGTCACTTTCGTTGCGCATGGAGAACGGCCAGTTCCGGGACTCAACGCTGAAGTGCAGGAACAGGGTTGCTCCTTCCAAAATGATGTCGACCTTGATCAGCTTTTGTCGCTGATTCGCCTTGGCCAGCTTGACATGAACGGTGCCAACATCGGCGATGCTGAATGGAGAGGACCATTGGTTGTTCACTCCCGGGAAGCAGAGACAAAGCTGCTTCTCTGCGACCTGACGAAGGAAATGAAGGGGAACCAGCTGGCCACTCTGAATCTGGTGCACATTGGACGAGCCGGGCTCACGTACGAGGAGATCCTCATTGAGTTTGCTCTTTAGAATGAAGCGAGGAGCAAGGGTCACTACCTTGGTAAGCTTGTACTTGCCCTCGCCTTCGGCAACAGAAACCCCCGAGTGGAACTCGGATCTGCCTTGGCGATCAGGGAAAATGACCTCAAAGGTGCTACCAATTGCCTCGAAACTCTGCGGTTTACTCCATGAAGAATCACCGACCTTCAGAATGGATCGGTTTCTTTGATCCTCGTTGGCATACGAGTACATGTATGGAAGTGCCCGGCCTTCGTCTCTTGGGTCGACTCTGAGTCCTTGCCCAGCAGCATTTCTTGCAGACTGAAGGAATGCCTTGCTCTGGATGTCCATGGGGAGACCTGTCTTGTTGAGTATTAGGTATGGACTGTAGACAGAAACCTTGAAAGCGCCACCACTGTTGGGGATATTGAAGTAATGAAGCTGCAACTTCAGCTGGAGACCTCGCTCATCCTTGAGAGACAATGTATGTTCTCTGCGGTAGTCTTGAGCATTGCCATTGACAATGGCAAACTCGCTCTGGCGGAAGACTGTGTCTTCCAGATCAATACTGAGCAAAAGTAGATGAGATAGCTCCACGACATGAACCGGGCTCACACCGCCCTTGCGCAGGAAGTTGGTCCAGTCTTTCTTGGTATTCTTGTCGTATATGCGGTACTTGAAGTCATACGGAAGCAGGTTTTGAATCTCCACAGGGGCGAAGATTCGAACTCTCATGTAAGGATACACGCCCGTGAGTGAATCCTTGTTGTCAAATGTGGCATTGACTTGGAAATAGAAAGGAGGGGCTTGCTGCCCGCTCTCTCCAACACACTTGACAGTGCGTGTAGGTCGCTTGATTAAGTCCTTCCAGAACAATTGCTCGTTTGACCAATCATAACCGAAGCCCTGATCGGGGCGAAGAACAACGGAATGGAGGTATGCTGATCCAACAGGCGCGGGACGAGCGTCACCAGGCAGAATCTTCTCAATCTTGAGAAGATGACCTTCTCCGGGGCTGAAGACACCCAATTCCACTGGGATCTGTGTGTTGTTCTCGATGAGAAGCGGGGAGCGGAATGTGATGTACTTCACATTGTCAGGTCCCAGGGTGACTTCCACGAGCAGTCTGTGAAGAACATTGTCTTGTTTGGGTTTCAAAGCGTAGACGGTCTCACCCTCACGAACGACAGGAATGCGGTTGATACTATCGAAGCCACTGCCTTCGAGCTTTACGCCTACAACTCCACCATGGCCTTCAGGCGTCAATGTCTCACGGACAGCAGTGGAATCCTCGAACCGCCATGGAGATTCTTCGCCATCGGTCAGCTTCGCTGCTGGGCCTTCCTCTCCTGCGCTGACATCGGCCCAAACCCTGAGATCAAACCCGGTGTAGTTGCGAATGCGGTAGGGTGCGTCGGCGCCTCTCGGTTTGGAAAGAACGTCCTCGTCCGTAGAGAGGAACTGGAATGACTTTGATGCAAGCGCAATCGTAGCAGATGTGACGGTAAGCTCCATCGTCTTGTGGGAATAGATGTCGAATGAGAAGACATCCGGGTTGACTTCCTTGGCCATGTGGAACCCGAGCTGCCAGGGCTCGATCAATGGCTCCCATGCTGACTTGGAGAAGTTGTACACGTTCAAGAACGTCTCAAAGTTGGTGTCGGCATTCAGTGTTGATGACCAGTCGCGCACATCTACATTGAATTTCTTGACGCTCCAGTCAAGCAAAGGGAGATCATGCAGATCACCAATCAGAATGACTCTAACACCGTCGATCTTCGCGGATAGCTCTTCCCTCTTGAGAATGACCGAGCTTTGCGGTGCAGTTGTCTGGCCAGCCTGTCCAAGGTTCTGACTTAGGCGACGTGTCCTATTGGCAATGGTGTGAGAAGCTTTGCTAGTGGAGCGAGCTCTAGTGCTCTTTGCATCCCCAATCTTCTTAACCTCGCCAGTTTCGATCTGTTGGGAATTCTGAGCCCTCATCTCAGAAGCCTTGTTGACAATCTGGATTGCCATGAGAATATCTCGCAGGGACAAGCGGAGGACCAGGGGTTCAAGGTGGACTTCGATAGAGGTCAAAGCAGATCCCTTCTCCTGGTCTCGGCTGTCAACAGACATTTCAAGGGTAAAGTCATCCAAAATACGAAGTCGTGACGTTTCAAACTTGTCCATGCGACACAAGAACATGCCCACTTTTTGGATCTGCAAAGTGAAAACATTCTGATGGGATATCAGCATCTCCTTGGTCCCCAGAACAATAGCCTCTGAGTGAGGAATGGCAGGGTTTGCCACCATGATGACTTGAGCATCGACAAGATTCACTCGGAATGACACTGTCATGCCGGCACCTTGGGTACCGGATGAGCCCTCAGTGATAGCCTTATCAGAGCTTGCGGCTGTGACGGATCCTGTTTCGGAGTCTTCTGTCTCGCTTTCTTCCACCACTGGCGGTTCTTCAGATGCAAATGCAGATTGGCTGAAAGACTGCAATGCGGACAGATAATCAAGAGCAAACATGATGCGAGGGCTATCAATAGTCAACATGGCAATCATGTGCCTTTCTTGCCCTCCAGACATAGAGACGCTAGCCATGAACTGTTGCTGAACGTCATTGTTGATCAAAGACATGATGTTCCTGAATTTGTTGGAGTCTTGCTTGCGACTATCACGAATGGAGAACGAGTGAATGAGAAGCTCCGACTCCAATGATCCATCTGTCAACATGCGCATCTTCACTCGAGTATCGTTGAGAGAGAACTTGGACAGACTAGCGTCCTCCAATTGGCCGACAGGCTGGTTGTCGTTTGCTAGGATAAGCTCCAGTCCGACACTGTCGACCTTGAAGATCATGTCCAGGCGTACCCAAGTCTCTTTCTCACCAGTAGAAGTATTCGAGACATCCTGGGTTGTTTGAGTAGCCTCTCTTGTGGGTTCGGTGACAGAGGAAGGTAAAGACTCCATAGCTTCAAGCTCTTGTTGCTCGGCGTCAGTAGCGAAAGCGCCCGGAATTGACTTTGACAGCTCCAACAGGAACTTGAGCTGGCTCTGGGAGATGCGCAAGTTGATAGGAGATAATGAACCCTCTATCTCCATGTCTGGGCGGGGGTTGTTGGCTTGATGCTCCAAATAGCAAATGCTGAAGTCCAAATTCACTTTTTGGATCATTTCCAATTCCTCGGCAGTACCATCTTCGAAATGGAACTTGGAAGTAAGACGAATGTTGCGAACACCAGTGGAGATGACATTGACAGCAGGGCTGTCCTTTCCTTCATCCATGGGCACGAATTCATTCTTGACATAGATCTCACCAAGATGAGCGGTGATTGTGTCGCGTGGGCGATCATCCAACATCACGCGAGGGAATACCACAATAGGTGTCTTGACTACAACATCAAGCCGCATCCGCGACGCGTTCTCTTGCATATGAGTGGCCTGGTTGGCTGCAGCTTGACGAGCTGCATTGAAAATGGCTTGCATCTTACCAAACTTGACAAGGAAGTTGATGATTTTGCGGTATGGCTCCTCCATAAAGTTGATTTTGATCGATCCGGAACGGAGGTAGACTTCAGAGTCGTAACCGGGGTAAGTGTCACTTTCGGCGTCGAAGGTTTCGTACTTGAAATCGGCGAAGTTTTCCCCTTCTATGGTGAGGAGGCGTCGAATATCTGAGTCCTCTGAAGCTCCTTGGTTGACATCATCAACCAACGTCAAGCTGCCGATCCGAGATTGAATGAGCATAGAGGCTCCGACGAGGAAAATTCCGACATCGGCAGTGTTCAAACTCAAGGTTGCCAGGCGCACACCATCATTATTGAGAATCAATGCGATACTCTTAAGGTTAGCCCTGATGCGAAGCTTTCCAGCAGCTTGTGGCTTTTCCTCTATCGCCTCAACCCTGTCTTTGGGCTCGATGACCTCAGCGGGTTGTTGGGGGTTTGTGAAGGTAAGAAGGATAAAGTCTAGAAGTGTGAGAAGTGTCTTTCTCGTCACAACGAGGTTGATGGTAGAGACTGCTATGTCGAGATTCATGGCGACGCCTTCGTATGTCGACTCGAATTCGGGAGACTCGGGTTTGACCCGCACCATCTTCAATTGGAAGAGGTCCTTGTCTTCATCGGCGTTGAATCCCTTGGAAGAGATGATCCTCTTGAACTCAGGGACCGGATTCTCTTCGATGTAATCGTCTACACTCAGCGATTTCAGAACGACTTCAGCAACCATATCATAAGGGCGCATGTAGAAGTCCAATTCAAAGCCTTCGGCTACCAATTCAACTAGCAAATGATCTCTCTGCAGGTCGTGGGGATCGGCGCGAGAGAGTGATCCACGAAGACGACCAACGGTGAACTTGAATTCAAAGTCCCGGCGGTGGATGGCAGGTGAGCCAGTTTGATCTTTCTTCGGTTCGACTTCTTCGACATCGTCATCGTCATCAACAACAGGAAGATCTCGTTGGACTGGTGGCTGGAAGGATGACGACCTGGGTCGTGTGACAACATCCTCCTTCGCAGCTGTATCAGATTTGCTGTCGAATTGAGGAATTGCGATGTCGATCAATTTCATCAGTCCCTTATATTTGGTATCCGACATCGACGCATGAAGTTCGGGCAAATGTCCGGAGATCCGGGTTCGCGTGAGCTGGGTCACCTTAGGGACAATGCACATCTCCAATGCCAAATCCACGTTGATGCGATCGATGATGTGGAAGTTCCTGGATTCTTCGTTGGTGTTGAGCTGGGCTTTGGTAGCTTCAACGCCAGGGCCGATGAGAACTTGCGTAGAATCAAGTTTGATGAGGAATCGGTCGTACAACAGATGCTCGAGCTGCTTGTAGTCTTCTTCTTCATACTGACGCTTCTGTTTGGCCTGGAGGTCGCGCATTGCTTGTCGATCGACCAACTCGCTGTTGACACTAGCATGACCAGCATCGATAATTAGGCAAAGGGAGCTGGGCTGCGTGATGCTTTCAGGGACAATGATCAGGGGTGCATGAACATCAAATTGCGCATCGACCTTCTTGTGTTCCTCCAGGGCAAATTCCAGGCCAGCCCGTGTTTGCTGTCGAAGGCCTTCCACAGTTGCACCTGCAGTGTCCATCAAAGCACCAATAGACTCCATGTGCCTTTCAGGTGGTTCGAAGAATTTGACAATCTCGACGAGGAATCTAGGGTTGTAAATTACCTCAATACTCTTCAGCTTCACTTTGACGGCAGTGTCTGCGTCGCTCTCGAGGGGGTTTTGCTCCAGTTGCAAATGGAACAGACTTCCTTCATCATTGATATCCGCAGTAGATTGATCCAGTGTCAAACTCTTCTGATCGTCGGCAGAGTCGAGAGAATCTTTGACCTTGACAATTTGAGGATAGAGAGTACCAGCAGTAGTACCGTCGTACATCTTCAATCCTCCCAAGTCGAGATCGAGGAAAAACGAGTCGGGGCGCTGGAGGGCTTTGGCTCGGAAATTATTGAACACTAGCTTCATGACTTCATTCGCCGCTCCATGGGGTTCCTGGACCAGGGTGAAGCTACCGGCTCGGAGACTCCAATTGACCTCGAGTTTGACCCATTCTCGGGGCAGGTCAACGCTCTCAGTAATAGCCTTTTTCTCATCCCAGTCGATCGCATTGTATAGCTCCTGTCGCTGTTCTTCGGTCATGGCTGTTTCCTCGGATTCTTCCTTCTTGGCGCCCCAAAACCAGTCTGACCAAGACTGTTGTTCGGCGGGCTTCTTCACTCCCACGTTCTCCTTTCGCAGTTGGTTTCGTGCAAGTGACCGCCAGAATCGAATATCCTCATAGCTGAGTTTCGCTTCGAGCTTTTCCATTTCCTTGCTCTCCTCGGGTGTGAAGACTTCTTCCTTCTTTCGCTTTTTGAACAAGGCAATGTACGCAATGCGGTCATCTCTGCGTTCCTTGATATAGTCCCAAGTCCAACGTCTATTACGTTCATGGATCTTACTCAAGACTGCTTCTCCTGCAAACTTCATCCACGCTCGCGGATCCTCTTTCGGGGAAGCTTTGGGTTGAATTTTCTTGTACTCTTGGTGGCGAATGAAGTAATGGAACAAGTCAACCAACATCAAAGCATCGCGATACTGCTTGTCGTCCAGAACGAAGCCGAGTTCATCGAAGAGTAAACGTGCCTTGATGGCAGGTGTGTCATATTTGCCGGATTTGTTCATCTCCAATCCAGCACGGCCACTGACGGGACGCAGCATGTATTGATTACCTTGGTCCTCATCAATGGCGGTTTTCAGCTTCTCCATCAACTCTGCACGACTGATACCTTGAGCCTCAGCTCCGATGTCAGATCCCCGTCCAGTTCCAAGGAGCTTTGCGTCTGTATTCCAGTAAACCGAGAGAGCACCAAGGACGGCGAGCTTATGCGTGACACTAGAGTCTGACTGGATGAAAGTCGGATTCCAATCCCCGTCCGTGCTGACGGCGCTCAGTTCCTTCAGAGTCACACCGAGGGCGAATGGATGACCGGGCGAAGCAATTGAATCCTCATAGCGGAAATGCACGTTCTTGATGGAGATCTGTAGGTTATCCACCACAGCGGTGATCATGCTCTGCGTGAAGCTCTGATTCCGACGCTGCTCCTCCTGACTCATGCCCTCCGCATTTCGCTCCCGCAGGATCTCGGCGCTCTCGATCCGTTCCATCTTCAGCGCATTCGCGCGCCTCTCTTCTTCCTCCGGATCGTAATCCGCATCTTCTCTCGGCGCGGCCAGCAAGAAAACATCCTCGATATCAACCTTCACCGGCTTGCCTCGTAGATTTGACCAGGGAATGGATAAAGTGAGCTCGCCGAGGTGGCCTTCGACGACATTTAAAGGTAGGTGGAGCTGATCGAGCGCTTCGCGGCGTAATTCGAGGTTCCGTAGCTTGACGTCGCCCGACCAGATACCGATGTTGAGTTGTGTCGCATCGAAATTCTTGACGTAAATTCCGAGGAATCGGTTGAGTAGGTTAGCGACTACTCCTTCCAGCATTATGGCGACGGGCAGCCGTAGACCGGGCCTGGTTGTTGGGCTCTAAGGCCGAGGTGGATGGTGCTTCACCAATGCGTGTTGGTCGGGTATTTGGTAGTCTGTGATCCAGTGTCTCTGATCAGCCAGTGCTCAAGAATGACTTCCCATCCAGTGAAGTCTTGCATGAAGTAAGGCTTACTTTTGGAGCGTTTGTAAACCAGCGGACATTCAATCCATGCAGCGGAGCGGGCTGGGAACGCGCGCACGATACTGTAGGATATCCGAGAGCGGGGATTGATTTTCTCGGTCAAGGTGGTAGTTGAATTATTATCGCTGGATGGAAAAGTGAGGTTGGGTATCCAAGCCAAGCTAATGGCCCTGATTGCGTGGGGAAGAGAGGTTGTCTGTTACGCAAAAGGGAGTACACGGTACGAATGGGGTACCAGCTTCGTTCCGCGAACGACGGGTGTCATATCCGCCTTTCAAGTATTGGGCCGGTACAGAGTACTCAATGCTAAGACTACAAGAGCACACTATAGCGATTGGAGGCTAGTTCCAGTCATTTACGAGTAATTTGACTGCCTTGAAATGAAGATCTTCTTCGCACGAGGGTATGGCCTTGAGTACCGTATTAAATACCCTGTTTACCCCAAGAGTGACGTAGCTTAGTGCTAGGGCAGCAGCCCCCGGCGCAACTCTGTGGCACGTGACCTCCAATCACGGAGTGTCTGCCTCAGGCTAAATATGCATTTTAGGTCACTCTGGCCCGCCCGAATATCAAACCACACCTCATCACTCGGTCACTTCATTTCTGGATATTCTTATTTGCTCCCTCCCGGAAACTCTACGCCCTCGACTTTGAGATCAAGTCACTTTCCGGGTGTATACCCTTAATCTCCACTCTTCAATTCCATTCGCAGCTTTTTGGAAAGCCAATTGCGTGAGTCAACACCCAATCCGGCCGCACCCGAAGCTTTTCTTCTTCCGCGACTTGCTGACCCGACGACCTCGAAAAGCTGTGATATCCCCCACCATGATGTACCGCACCACCGCTGCCCGCTCCGCGCTTCGCGCCCTCCAGAGCTCCAATGCCTCCGTGGCTCGCTCCACCCTGGGCAACCAGATGTTCAAGGCCCAGATGACCTCGTCTGCCCGCAATGCGATCCGTCCTTCCGTCTCCCCCAGCTTCGCGATCGCCGCTCGCAAGCCCATCACCACTGCCCTTGTGCGCCACTCTTCTTCTTCCGCCAAGGTAAGAGATGTCACAGGAACACCCGCATGCGTGCATCATGGCTAATTGGACCAGGACGACGACGATGTCGATGTGATGGCCGGTATGAAGTCCGAGGCTGTATGTATCCCTCTCTATAACTAATTGGCATCGCATGCTAAGTTCAATTGGGATTTTAGAAAGTCATCAAGGAGACTTTCAGCTTGAACTCGGTCCCCAAGGAGGCCCTCTACCTCGGTATGGCTGGTGTCGTTCCCTACGTCGCCACCTCCCTCCAGACTGCCTTCCTCTCCTACGAGATCAGCCGCGCTGCTTCTCTTGGTGACGGTCTGATCTTCTCCGGCCAGTCCGCTGAGCTCATGCTGCACATGCTCGAGCCCATCCAGGTCGGCTACGGTGCCGTGGTGAGTAGCTCCAGCTCCGTCGTATCCCACTTGAAATCACTAATTGCCCCCTCAGATCCTCTCCTTCCTCGGTGCTGTCCACTGGGGTCTTGAGTGGGCTGGCTACGGCGGCAAGTTCGGCTACCGCCGCTACGCCGCTGGTGTGATTGCCCCCGCTGTCGCCTGGCCTACTCTGCTCTTCCCCACTGAGTACGCCCTGATCAGTCAGTTCCTGGCTTTCACCTTCCTGTACTACAACGATGCCCGCGCTGCCGCCGCTGGCCGTGCTCCCCACTGGTACGGCATGTACCGTTTCGTGCTGACCTTCGTCGTCGGTGCCTCCATCGTTGCTACCCTGATTAGCCACGAGAAGGTCCAGCAGGTCATCACCTCCGAGCACACCATCAAGGACAAGATCAACGCTCTGATCTTCCTCCAGAAGAAGGAGAAGGAGGAGGCCGATGCTCGCCGCCGTGGTGAGATCGAGGAGACCGATTAAATTAGCCTCACCAGGCGCGGGCGTTCATCCCTCCAAGACTGATCCATGTTTGCATTACCCGTGATTTCCTGTAGAATATACGCAGAACGCACTAGGGCGGCCACTGAAAGTTTTTTTTGTTCCATTGGAGTGTTCATAGTTGAAGACGCTAGAGTTTTGTCCAACCATCTTTTTTGTCCTCGAAGTCGGCATTTGCAAATGGTCTGTATGTCGTATGAACTATCTGTTCCGTCAGTTGGAAGAACGCAACACCGACTTGATCACACTGAGGGAAAGCATTTGATATTAACTTGCAGGACTCTCCGAACCCCCGGTTGGAGCGGGTGTGCCCGCAACGCCCGCAAGTGGGTCCCAATCAGCGAATACCGAATACCCGTGGACCACACGGAGTGCTCACCACGCAGTGCAGTGGGAGGATTCTTTGCCCGGTTGTTGGCGTTCGTGTGAAATTGAGCTGGAGCTGAATTACAACACTGCCTCATATTCTCCCTTCGGCATTCAACACATTCTTTCTCATAGGTATATGTTGTTTCGAGCAGGTGCCATTTGAGCCCAACTCGCTCGTGCAAACGAAATGAGTCCCTGGATGACACCGAGAGTTGCATGACATGAGAGAAGAAGATGGCAGAACGACATTTCAAATTTCAAGACAATTCATATCCTCGAAGACAGAAATGAAGTTGACAGTGGCTACTAGGCACGGTTGAGTTCCATCGCTGGGTACAGAACGTGGGAGTTCCTTTTGAACCCGCGTCCCTGGAGCAGGCACATGGAGCATTATCATCATCGATCACCTCTAGGAGACTTTTGCTACGAGGAGGTTTGTCATTGTCACGTGTGGAACAGATCTTCTGCAACTACGATATGTATTGCGCCGAGAAGCATTGTGGCTAGGCTTTTGAGACAATTGGCCCAAGCTTTGCACCCCATCGGCGAGGATCTTTTGCAAGACAGGAACCAATCAGGAGCAAATAAATCGACCCTATCCTCTGTATAATTATGCAGGAACAGGTTTGGGCACCAAAATCAATCCCAGGCTCTCGGTAATGGGTTACTAACGAGGCTTTCTAAGGTTTGAAGGACGATCAAAGTTGACAGCATGTGGATAAGCTAGGTATTCGTATCCTTTGCTCCGTTCGAATGAAATTGAGAATGATATGATTGAAACCACTATCCTCCATCTGGTAGCCAAGCTCGGTCTTGATGGATGACTTCGGACTCGAGAGCCTTGGCTCATGGGATTAATGGCACTGATTCTTTGGATACGGAATAGTCAGCTTAAGATTAGATCTGCAAAAGACAGATCTAATTAAGTACTGAAGTATCCAATAGATCGCCACTGTCATGCACTGCTGAATCTGGACATTAGAGAATTGGCGAGCTTGCAAGATTTCGCTGAATGATAACGCATGCGCAAATATTCTGAAACAATGCCTCTCATGCGGACGACAGAAAATGGACACCAATTTCGGAAGCTATAGCCAAGCTGTGACTTCAGGAGTGGATAGGGGAGCCCGATTTGATATTGAGAGAGAAAGTGGCTGGTTGGCAAACCCGACTACTTACTTACCTTGTCATGCTCAAGTGGCGACAAGAAATATACAACGGGAGACTGCTAGCACTTGAGCCCTGGAGGCTAAATTGTCAGAAATTGGGACCTTGTTCTGCGCCCTCCCCGGTGGCCAGAATATATTCTGCCACAAGGAGATTGCGGGGTCTTGTTTCTGTGTTTCTGTAAACTTCGGCCAATGGACACTTTGTCGTGATCAATCCACTGAATTTGGGCCCAAGAAATGGACCAAGAGAGCTTTGGAAGGTCACCATTGATTCTCGCGGTCAAAAATCATGATCTGGATGTATCTAAAACAAGAAGCTCAATGCGGAAAATGGAGTTCAACCTTAGAACGGACCTCTTAAAACTCTCTTACGGGATCAAACGTCTCATCGTGACACCTTAGATAGGACGATCTTTTTCTGATCGAAAATCATTTCCAAGGCTTGAGGCTTTCTAGAGCCGTTCCTTGAGATCCGGGGTATTTGGGCTGTAATGAGTGTCAGGCAGCTCAGGCAGCCATCCTTATACCTAAGTACTATCTCCAAGGTCTTTGTTCAACCTTGGAATCAGCTAAGTTTATGGAGCCTTTTAAAAACCATTGTGTCTCCAAGTAATGTTTAATTGATTTCCTTTTAAAAAATGAATTCATTTTCATAATTCTGGTTACCAGCATGGTCACATGGAACAATTGAATGCAATAAAAAATCAAACAGTCGGGCTGCCGCAAATCGGAGCCGAACAAGCAAGGAGCAACGGAAATAAATAATCTGACGATCGGGGTCACGGGGTGCCGAAAATATCTCCTGGGGATCTGCTACTAGTATGGGGGGAGACTAGTTGATACAGAAACCCCTGGATATCGCCGGGTACAAGTACTTTTGCAGAGATGTCACGATGCTTAAGAGGCGTTGAAAAGGGAAGGTCAAGCGAGGCATACATAATGTACAAGGACCCATGAAAAACCGTAGCCCCCGATTGCGCCAGAAAAACACGCTGGAATTCAGATAGATCGCCACATGCTTTTTCTTTTTTCCCTCCTTTGGTGATTCTGCGCTGGCATCTGCATTTCTTTTCTTTTTTAATAATTTAATCTTTTTTTGAGTCTGCACATGATCTACTCCCTCGCACGTCCCCGTTCCTGACCAAAAACCCTCTCTCCACGTTAGCGAGGCGGGCATCTTATAGGATAGACGGTTCTCCGTGGGGAGAAGAACCTGGTTCGAGAAACGTCATGTCCCGGGGATCCAAGGGGATATGATTGGGAGACATGGAATTCGAGAACTCTTAAAAGGTTAATGCTAACGTTACCAGGATCTTGATCAATGGCTTGATCAATGGTAGGGAGTCCAAGATCCTGTTAATGCATCCGAATGTTCTTGGCCTCGACTAGGACCCTCTCCAGAGACATTCTTTGGGCTCCATAGGCTAACCCAGGCTATACTGCAACAAACCAATAATTCTTCCAGATAGTGGGATTTTCTCCATGAATAGGAATGAATCAGCTAATCTGCAAAGAATGTAGGCTAAAGAAAAAGGGGGTTCTAGAACGGCTAAGGGACCGCAGGGGAAAAATGGACCGTGTCATGTGTACGATCGACGGGGCTTTGTGGAGTGCCCAGACCTGGAGGGACATTGGGGTTGGAGGAGACTTGGGTTGAATTGAGGCCGGGAGGGAGGATTCCCAGGTCCAGGGAGCTGGAGAACTGGAATGAGGGCCATTCTCAGGTTCTGGGATGTGAAACGACGGATGAACAGGTTAAAAACCCGAATCTTTATAGCCACCACAGAGCGAGCCCCAGCCGAGGGGGAGAAATAGTGGGGGAGGTGACGAGGTCTTCTGATCAGAAAAAAACCCCCGAACCGGATTTGTGTAGCCCCCCACCTCGACTCATATAAACCCCTTGGGCTGGGAGTGTGGGTGTGGTGAAGCTCCTGTTCTTTTTGTTTCTCTTAATACTCCTCTTCTCCTCTCTTTACGATACCGAAGGGCAAAATACCTGCAATACTTGCCAATTACCTCCATTACCTCGAATATCCCGAATACCTACAATTACTTGCCATTACTTGCAAATACCACCAACACCATACACGACAATACCACCGCCGAACACCCTAATCATACCGCCCTGAAACGATACGTCACGGTCCACTTTTCTGCCAACGGGAGCTGGTCCCCGTATCCCACCGCCACCTCGTAGTTTCCCCTCTCTCTAAATCTTGAGGGCGTAAATCCGTCTTGTTTTTTTTCCCTTCCCTAATACACTTTGTGTGTGCTTTCTTGAGCCCCTCTATACATCATGCGGAACCCTTTCGAGTTGGACTACGATAGCGTCGATGGAGACTCAGAGCCCCCTACCGACTTCGAGGGTCGGGAAGAGCACGTTCACCAACACCAGGAGAACCGACAGCAACGAGAGCTCAATCTCAACTTCCGGCCAAAGCAGGCCCAGGATGGAGATCGATCACTGCTACAGGAGGATGAGGGTCACGCCGACCGCATGAAACGTCGTTTCATTGGAACCATTGATCAGGGTACGACAAGTACTCGTTTCATTATCTTCGACTGCACAGGCGTTCCCATCGCCAAGTATCAAACTGAGTTCCGACAAATTCACGAACATCCAGGGTAAGTTGTCAACTTCCTTTCTCATTCAAAGCCCAAACTAATGGCCTGTCCCACAGATGGCACGAGCAAGACCCATACGAACTCGTGGAGTCCGTTTATATTTGTATTGAAGAGGCCATGAAATCATTCCTTGCTCTCGGCTACGAACCATCCGATGTCGAAGCCATTGGCATCACCAGTCAACGAGAAACTGCCTTGGTCTGGGACTGGGAGACCGGTGAGCCCTTGCACAACGCCATCACCTGGACCGACACCCGAACGGTGAACTTGGTCCGCGAACTCAAGGCAAAGCCCGGGGCCGATGACCTTGTCAACATTTGCGGCCTACCCCTCTCCACATACCCCTCATCCGTCACGCTACGATGGATGCTCGACCACCTCCCGGACGTCAGGTCAGCCTACGATGACGGTCGGGCTGCATTTGGAACCGTGGACAGTTGGCTCATTTACAACCTTAACGGAGGTCCCCAGAACAAGCGTTTGGTCACCGATGTCACTAACGCGTCACGGACCATGTTCATGAACCTCGAAACTCTCCAATACGATGACCGGCTACTGAAGTTCTTCGACATCGACAAGACCAAGCTTCGCCTCCCAGACATTCTTCCTTCTGCCGATCCGGAAGGATTTGGTAAAGTGGCCGAGGGGCCATTAGAAGGATGCCCCATCACAAGTTGTCTAGGTGACCAGGCCTCCGCGTTGGTCGGTCACTGTGCCTTCACCCCGGGTATGGCGAAGAACACCTACGGTACTGGTTGCTTCTTGCTATACAACGTGGGCGACAAGCCCGTGATTTCTAAACACGGCCTGCTCGGCACAGTCGGCTTCCAATTAGGGCGTGACCGCAAGCCGGTTTACGCCCTGGAGGGCAGTGTCGCTGTGGCTGGCAGTGGTGTCTCCTTCCTTATGAACAACTTGGGCTTCTTCCGTGACTCACGGAAGGTCAGTGATTTGGCCGCCAGTGTGCCTGATAATGGAGGTTGTATTTTCGTCACTGCCTTCAGTGGACTTTTCGCGCCTTACTGGATCGACGACGCTCAGGGCACTATTTGTGAGTAAACTCATCGCCTGTCGAGGACCTGCACTAACTTTTTAGGGGGAATCACTGCACACACACAAAAGGGACACATTGCTCGTGCAACCATGGAAGCGGCCTGCTTCCAGACCAAAGCCATCCTCGACGCTATGGCTATGGACAGCGGCAAAAGTCTCACCGAGTTGGCCGTGGACGGTGGTATGAGTAACTCGGACATTTGCATGCAGGTAAGTTATTGTTTCCAGTCAAACGGCCACAAGACACCACTAACTCTCGTCTGCTCTAGACCCAAGCCGATATCATTCAAATTCCGGTCGAGCGTCCCTCAATGCACGAAACCACCGCCCTCGGTGCCGCCATTGCCGCCGGCTTTGCCATCGACATTTGGAAGGACTTCTCCGAACTTAAGCACATGAACCGCGCCAACCGAGCCTCGTTCACTCCGTCGATGACCCCCAAAGCCAGCGGCAAGATGTATAAAAAGTGGTCCAAGGCCGTTGAGATGTCGCGGGGCTGGATGGAAAACGAGGAAGAAGAAGAAGACGACGAATAAACAACCCCACCTATAAATATTCCTTCAATGTGACACCCCCAATTCGGTCTACCGTCGACTCCGCAGTCGAATCTGTGTCGATATCATGCATGGAAACACAAAATGGGAGAACAGGAGAGATTGGACCGGGATTTTACAACATATGAGCATCGCACATATTCTCTCTTGCATGCCCGGGTTCGCTTGGGACTTTTGGACTCACTGTTCCGGTTATACATACTTTAGAGAGTCTTCGACTAGAAAGTCCGTCCTAATAGGCGTGTCACCCACGATGCCCGCTGACTGGCCTTCCATGATCTACACATTTGGGGGGAGCTAGATCCTGGATTTACTTTTTTCACATAGCTGCTGCTTCCTTTGGTTGCAGCCAGCCTGGCATTTGTATATACCATCTGAGAAATGAAAAAAAATTCAAATCTACATCTACATAAGTATTATACGTATTGCAGTCTTTGAGTGGTCCAAGTTTCACAAGATATCAAATACAAGGCCTCTTAGGTTGGTCTATCTTGTGGGGTTCAGGCCTGACGTGGAAGTGCCTATCTCATACTTACGTCCACTGCCAAGAATTACAGAGTACATCCCCATGACATCACGGTAATCAAGTATTTGAGGTATTGAGGTATTGAAGTATTGATGCCCAGGTGTTCACTTGCGCAATCAAGGCGACGATCTAAACGGCGATGAAGTCATGGATCCGGCCCGGTGCTAAGGTTTGGTTCCGCTCGGCTCGGTTCTATATTTGGATTTCACTATATACTTAACTAGACACCATACAGAGTATATAGACTTACGGAGCAGTAGATCATTGACCGAGAGACTGTTTACGATACATGCTATGCGATGAAGTAAATTACAACATAGTTGTACAGGGAATAGGTAGAGTAAACCCAGGCCTGAACGCGGACGCAGAGATAGCTGGGGTTGACTGAGACACGAGAGAATCAAGGAAAATGGTATTTTCAGTAGACGCCCAAACCCGGGGATGCACAGTGCAGGAACGGTGCACATAAGAACATTATAAAGAAAAAGAAAAGAAGATGAAAGGTTTTGAGCCTATTCCTCCGCATCCTGGCTTCCCAGGGTAGGGTTGAAATTGGCCAGCTGCAGGGGCTCGGGAAGTTTCACGGGCGCACTGGGAATGATTTGAGGCCTCTTGAGTTTCTCGCCCTTGAGAACCTGCAGCATTTCCTCTTTGGTTAGTGTCTCGTACTCAATAAGGGCCTTGGCCAGAAGCTCGAGCTCGTGGCGGTTCTTGGTCAGGATGGTGACGGCCTGCTCAGTGGCTTCAATGACGAGACGGCGCACTTCTTCCTCGATCAATTGCTTGGTTTCAGTGGATAGGGAGTCGTAGTTGGTATGCAGATCAACGCTGCCAAGTTTCTTGGAATATCCGAATCGAGTGACCAATGTTTGTGCTGTTTGGGTGGCACCTTGGATATCCTAGGATGATGTTAGCATGCTGTCAAATTCGGGTTGCTACTCGAGAATACTTACAGAGCTGATACCACTAGTGACATTTTCGGCGCCAAAGACCAACTCTTCCGCGGCTCGACCACCCATGGAGACAGCAATGTCAGCCAAGTACTGAGTGTAATTGCGTGAGACCGTGTCCATTTCAGGCAAAAAGTGTGTGATACCAAGGGCCATGCCACGGGGAACGATGGTGATCTTGTGCAGGGGAACGGAAGAGGCAGAATGGTGGGCCACAAGGGCGTGACCGGCTTCGTGGTAAGCAGTCAGAAGCTTGTCCTCGTCCCGGATGAAACGACTCTTGGCTTCGGCGCCCATCATGATCTTGTCCTTCGCCCAATCAAAGTCGAAAGAGCCAACATAAGACTTGTGCTCACGGCCGGCATGAATTGCAGCCTGGTTGACCAAGTTCTCCAGATCAGCACCGGAGAAACCAGGGGTACCACGCGCAATTACGCCGACATCAACGTCCTCGCCATATTCGATCGGCTTCATGTGGTGCTTGAGAATATCCATGCGACCGCGAACGTCCGGCAAGTCGACAACAACACGGCGGTCGAAGCGACCGGGACGGGTCAAGGCCTTGTCAAGTGATTGGGGATAGTTGGTAGCAGCAATGATGATAACACCGGTAGACTTGGAAAATCCATCCAGCTCGGTGAGCAGCTGGTTCAGGGTCTGCTTGACGTAGGCAGCGTCACGCTCGTTGCGCTTAGAACCTATGGCATCCAGCTCATCAATGAAAATGATTGCGGGAGACTTCTTACGGGCCTGGGCAAACAACTCGCGAACTCGCTTGGCGCCAACGCCGACGTAGACCTCATCAAATTCAGAGCCAGACATATAGAAGAATGGAACGCCAGCTTCACCAGCGACGGCTCGTGCGAGCAAGGTTTTACCGGTACCAGGGGGGCCGACCAAGAGAACACCCTTGGGTAGCTTACCGCCGAGAGAGTTGAAACGTTCCGGGTTGATGAGGAATTCCACCAACTCCTGCAGTTCGTCCTTAGCCTCGTCGCAACCGTGCACATCAGTGAAGCGGGCAGTTTGCTCCTCGGGCTGAGCTTCCTTATCCTGCGCACCGCGCATGTTCTTCAGAACACCGGTGGATTCCATAAGCAGAGTGATCATGACCAAAGAAAGATAGGTGATGAAACCGAAGATACACAGGAACTTGACCCAGCGGAACACAGTGCTTCCCACTGACTCATCCACGACAACATAGAGAGGAGCGTCCTTGGCACCAGTGCCGAATTGCTTGCCTCCCATTCCGATCTGGCCACCAGTAGCTCGAGCAGCGACCGCCTGGCCAACAGCTTGAAGCTGTTCGGCGCTCAAGTTGTTGTTTGATGAGCCAGCAGTAACGTCACCGCCCATAAGCGACTGGGCTTGTTGTACCAAAACCTCGGTGGTGGTGTCACTGGCAAAGTGACCACTGCGGTATCGTTCGATGACAATAGCGGGCATCTTGGCACGCAGAAGCGTTAAATAGAATGCATTTTGAGCTTCGATATTGCTGGGGCTTTTGTTTGCGACCTTCTCTTTTTGGGCAAGCTGATGATGCCAGGAACCTCCGAACAAGAATCGTTGTTGTTGGAAACCGGAGAGGGTGTTGAGCCTGGTGGCCGATCGAACAGAGTTCAGGCGAAGGGGTGACAGAGTAGAATGGGAACGAGTAGCGGGAATGAAATGAGTGATCGGCGTGAATGATGATTTGGTCCGAAAGGCGTTGGCATTGGCTGCCGGGATTTGTCCGATGGGCTTAAAATAAACATTGAAAGGACCAGTTGACGCCTTTACTGCGACAGCCTGAAAATTCAAATTGACGTCAGCCTTCTGTGGTGGGTTTGACGCGCGACTGTACTTACCAGCCTGGAGAACTGGGCTTGGAAGGCCATGACTGTCTGTTATACAGCGGCGCGGGGCCGCGTGCGAGTGGGGTCCTCTGCTCCGCGTGTGGTATGCAATCGAAAAGAAAACCGAGTTTGTGGTCTTCAATTCAAGAAAATGACATCGCTGATGCGTATCGGAGGTGATGAGGATGGATATAGGTGCTCCGCATTGATGCGGCGGATTGCCATTGCGATCGAAGGCGCTATGGGCTGCCGTACCAATCACGTGCTGCTCTCGGATTAATGATTATCCGAATATCAGAAACACTCCATCCATAGATGTCTATCACCACCACCATGACTTCTGCATACCTGGTATCCGCCTTCTGGATATATGTCCCAATGTTCCTAATTAATTACAACTTCGTTATATATGTAGGCATTGTAGTTCTGGCATTGTAGTTCTGGCATTGTAGTTCTGGCATTGTAGTTCTGGCATTGAGTGCTCTACACTTGCAAGATGTAGCCTTTTCTCCATTCCCATTCAACCCAAACTTCATGGGATTCGCTGCCAGCAGATCCCAACAGCTTCATTTTAAATTTTTTATACTTTGAATTTTTGTGGTATTGGGGTATCATGATTGGATAGTATTCGGTATTACTAAAATGAAGCACGCAAAGACAAACGCTTGGCACATTGTACAGAAAGAGATTGCAGGGGCAGAAAGTCCCAGTCAAGACTAAATTTCATCGCTTCACATCGTATTCAACGTAGCTGCTCCCGCGCACGTCCGTAGAATCGACCTGCAGAGCATTGTCGTAATTCCTCTGTCCCGCGAAGCCATGTTTCTCATCTGAGCTAACTGTGTATTGGGGAGCGACATGATCTTCTGACAAATTCTTCGGATAGGCAGTGAGCGGAACTTCAGTGAAGCCGTTTTGATCCTCAGGTGGACCGCCTCGAGGGATAGGATCCATCATATGGCCTTGTCCACCCTCACCGCGTTGCTTCTCACGGCCCCAGAAAAGCATCATGGCGCGAGTGATTCCAATGAGGGCGATGAAGACCCAGAGAAGAAGGATGGCTGTAGCTATAATTGCTTCAATCCGCAACGCTTCTTGAAGCTTGTTGATCACGCTGATGACAACTTCGGTGATCTTGTTTGATGTTTCATCACCTGCATCGGCGAGGAAGCTGTCGGATGGGTTTGACGACTTGTCATCGATGCTGTCCGAGGCACCGGCGGAGAAGGTATCATTTGGGAGTGTGGGAAGAGAGATATGCGCATGTTCGGATACCCAGTTCAATCCCTTCTGCAGAGACTCTGCTTTCAGTCCAATCAAGCATTCGTATAGCTCGTAAACGGGCTCTTGCAAGATGGTTCCTTTGAATGTTTCATTGAGCGCACTGGATGTGTTGTATATGAAGAAGTTCAATGTTTCGTTGATGGCATGAGTGCTTGTGTTGACCCATCCGAAGACATTCTTGTTGAGATCAGTGTCGAGATTGATGATGGCCTTGTTGGCATCAGTGGCCCAATCTGTTGAGGCTTTCTCAAGTGCCCCCACCACCTTGTCGGCAAATTCCCCCACTTCAGAGCTCAGTGCGGGGACAGTCTTCTTGATCGAGTGAAGAAGAATGTATTGACATAGACAGGAGAAAAGTGCAGCAAGAGCAAGAGCCAAGACAAAGAGAGCTGGCAGAGATGTCGCATAGGCGATCGCCCACCGTACGAGAATCTGTCGGCGGCTGTTGCTAAAGTGGCTTGCTGCCTTGATACCCGCAGCGGCAGTGTACGGCCGCGAAACAATGTAGACGACGTCCATCGGGTCGTGTGCTTCTTTCCGAACAAGCTGGGAGCGTTCTTTCATAGAGCGCCATCGACGAACTTCTTGCCACGCGATTGGAATGCATACCAAGATAGCTGCCACAATGAGAACGGCCATAAAGATCTTGCGGGCTGTTAAGACAAGACTCGTAACCCCACTGAAGAAATCGTTAATGCCACTGTTGTCGTTGCAAAAGGTCAATTGCGTTTTAGCAGGAACCGGAAGAGCGGATCGATCAAAACTGTAGGTGCCCAGGGATTTGTTGACTAGGTCTTTGACTTCCTGGAAAGGAGTTTGGAAGATAGTCTTGGTGAAGTTCTGAATCTCCTTGAAGTTAGGAAGGACGAGGCTGTCTAACTTTTCGACAGTGCTGTTGACCGATGACGGAAGAGCCATGTTCTCTAACTTGCTGATTGAGCTGTTCAGATCGATTGGAGTTGGGTCGTCGGTGAACAAGCTGGCCACCTTGTTGATTGCTTCGAGGAATGAATCCAGTTCACTCTTATATTTGTTGACAGTGCTTTCGATGTCGTCGCCGATTGAGACCAGGGTCTTGTTGATCCACTCAGTCGCCTCCTTGACCAACTCAATTCCAGCTCCAACTGTGCCACGCACGGCCATCGTAATAAGACAGGCATAGGTTGAATACATCATGTTGAGAACAAACCAAAGGATTTCCCCTACACCGGTAATGGTCATCAACAGCATTGATTTCAAAGCAGCAACTGCATGGTCGACAGATGAAGCAACAAGCTCATTGGTGCCAGTGGACAAGTAGTGAGGCATTGAAGCCATGGCGCTGCCCATGGATTCGACCGATGAGCAGGCGGAAAGCGCCTCGCGTTTGGCGGACGCCATGTTGGATTGCACGTCGCCGACTGCAATCAATAGTCGAACAAGAACAAGAAGTAGAAGAATCGTCCAGCGATTGATCCATACTTGTGAAAGTCGAGCTCGTAGTCCCAGATAGGGAGTCAGGCCGTCTGGGTGGAGGGGAATGATTCGTCCTGTGCTGGAATCATGGGCTCCATACGGCGGGAGCAACGGGAAGACCGATCGCCCGGATCGTGAAAAGACCATTTTGCTATGCTTTGCTTGAAATTTTGAAGTTCTCGATGTTGATCTCGTCCCGCGAAGATCGTCGGCCACTCAGTCGGTTTGGGGCCAGATTAGATGAGGATGGATAGTCAAATCCTGGAACCAAAGACTTCTCGGAGGAAAGAGATGAAGAAAGAGAGAGGAAGTAAAATGATGATCTAATGATGAAACATGGTGCATCTATTGTCTTATTGAGGGTCAATGAATGGAAGTCGAATGAATTAGGGTGGGTGGCGAGGGACAATAGGATCAAAATAAAACAACAAGACAATGGATCGTCAATATATAGCAACCAGTAAGCTTTCTCTGAGCATTGTCAGACATCTTGGGCGGCACCAGACATTACCTATGCTGGTGTGGTTAAATAAAGAAGCAGTTTGATGGGGCTCTGGCTGTCCTGAATGGTGGAGGCAGCCACTCAGAGCGCAACACATCCTTGCCGAAACACAAAGGACATAAAAATAAAGTCTGAAGACAAGAGATATATGCCAGGGGTTGTTTCATTAGCCATCGAAGCATACCATTGGTGTATTGGAGATGTCAAAGCCGCCGGGGTGGACAAATAGCCAAATTTAGTCCCGTGGGCGCTTAGCCGCCCACTGCTTAGAGCCAATAGTCGGTCAGTGAGAATCACTACATCGAACACTTGAGCAGTCGCTAGGCTCCAAGGTCACTTGAAGATACAGATTGTCCGAGCAAAAGGCATTCGTGGTTTCCAACGTTCTGCTGCGTGTGCCCAGGTGGTGTAAACAATCCACTGGTTCATGCCGAAGTGTACTCCGTACCCCGTACGATGTCAAAAAAGGCGTTTTCAGATTAGAGTTAGATATTCTTGAACCACCTGATGCGACATGTGGTTCCTGGTTATAGGTCGACAAACCGGGGAGTTTACGAGGTAAAGTGCCTTGGTGACGTTCTCAAGTGGGACGGGTGATGGTCGCCGTCGTCAACAAAGAACACTGCACGCGGCAGTTACTGGTCCGTGCATATACAATCACCTGATGAATCCACACCCTAAAAGACCATCCCTCTGGCCTGTAGCAGCAGAGCCCCAGGCCAGGATCGTTGCTGTTGAAGCTGGTTCGATAATGGCCGTCGTAGTTCAAGACCATCCAACCAAGGTGATACTTAGGTACTTTTCTGCAAGTGACTGCATCATCAAAATTCAAATTTTCTAAGTACTTAAGTAGAAACCTTGATCTTGTCAACCATGCATCTATACACGTACCTGATATATCGCGAACGCAACTTTTTACTTGGAATACAATGTCAGTTGCAGGGTTAATCTTTCTTAATTCGTTTGTGGTAGGCCCTAGAGAGGGACAAATCTAGAGACTTGAGTATACCGGAGGTCAAGACGGGAAATCGGGACTATAGGTGATATATATCGAGCAAAAAGCTCGAAAGAGAGTTTGATAGCCAAGGATGTAATGGATACTCAGCTCTCCAACTAATTGTTCCACGAAAATTTGACCCGCAAGAAGTGAATCTAGGACTGACCAGAGGTGGCCCAAAAGAGGATTTGGCAGTGATGGATGTGGCGTATACTTCTCAGTAGGATGAACTTGAGAAAAAGGTCCTCCATCGAGGGTGTATCAATCTTGCCGTGAGCTCAATACTAACCTATAGACCCTCTCATGACCTGACAAGGTCGAGTCTTTGCCCAGTGAAAGTAGTGAGTGACTGGCGAGAAAACAGTTGATATGCACTTCCAATTTCCAACTATAAAACTGTCTATCTCGGAATCGGACTCTCTGTTCCGAGAAAGGTAATTCTATTTTCGGGAGTTTGAAAGGGTCCGGCGTGAGTGGACGTGTTGACTGGACTTGATTGCTTCACGTATCCAAGAGTCCTCGCCGTGTGACTCGCATTGATACCCAGGTGGGTTCTCCAGTTTCATTCTCTCACTTTCTCTTCTTCTCCCTTCTCCATATCTCTTACCTCTATTACTTTTGTGTTCACGCAATCGTTCCTCTTTGACATGACAACCAAAGCAGTTCTCAACTCACAGAAGAAGATATTCAAGTCAGTGATGCACTATCGTGGGCTTCGTGTCTCTGCTGACGTGAATGTTTGCAAGAGCTGACCAAGACACAAGTTTATCATCACTTGTTGACGTGTCATTCACGACGAAAAGCATTTCCTCGACATCTCTGAGTCCGACTCTGGTAAGTCATCTCCTCTTGTACTCTTCCACTGCCTCCAACGTGGAAAGATATCTCACATGGTGAATACCAGTGCCAACCCTACTACCGAGGCGATTGAGGTCATTGGGTGTATCATCATCCCACCTTGGCCAAGAAAGAGGAGCTTGGTATGTTGTCCCTGCGACCGACAAGTTTTCAGATTCTCAGTTCATCTGGATTCAGCTTCCGACCGACCAGTGCTAAATAGTTCGAACATCAGATGCGAGTCCTTGGCTCTCACCACACACCTCGTGATTCAACCGAAGAATTCCAGTCAGTTCCAAGTGAATCGAATCAACAGAATCTCGCTCACCAATGGCAGATTTCCAGTTCATCATCATCATCATTCTCCGTCGCTATGGCAAACATTCACAGCAAAGTCTCTGAAGATGAGGACAGCGACAAGCAATCCGGTGGTGGTACAGACCAGTGTCAGACAAACACATCGGCATGTCAACTGAAGTCACAAGAAGAAGATCGCCAGTCGTCACAGCCCGAAAACGGAAACATATTTGTACCCCACAGCGACAGTGAACTAGGCTTGAAGCTCCTCAATGGTCAGATGTGCGTTGAAGTTAGCAACTGGAAGTGCAAGTTCCCGAGTGTTATCATGAAGAACCATGTCTGTGGTAACCCAAAGGGTGGGCTTGAAGTTGGATTCTGCAATGAAGTTATCAAGATCGAATTCCGAATCCCACCTGGGTTCCCTGATCGCATGATTGGATTCATGACTGTCTTGCAGTCTCTCTTCCTTGAGCCGGAACGTCTGGGCATAACCGAAATCAAAATTGGCCGTGAACTTGTCAAGCAAGAGCGCCACAAAGCCAAAGATCAGGAGTGTCACGTCAGCTGGTCATCCCCTAGGGACAGATCTGGCTGCCGAGTGAGCTGGATCAAGGAAAGCCACCATGCCATGATCAAGTACAAATTCTCCAATATCAACAAGATCGGAGTAGATGAAGAGATGATCATGGAGGTGAATGAAAGCAATGAGATGTATGGGAAGATCTCTTCAGCTGATCCGGTAAGCGTTCACCCTGGGCTCATCCAATTGACGTGTTTGCTAACAACACAAAGACTACGTACGGCAAATGGCTCGCAATGCCAGCACGAATCTGGCTTCGGACACAATGGTTCATGCGCAATATCGAGGGAATCGAAAACGACATTTTCAGCAAGCTGTTCAAGCCCACTGCAGCGGTCCCGCCAGTCGTCAAGCAAGCCGTGGGCCAAGATATGAAGTCTGCACCCAACAACAAGAATCAAAAGAGGAAGAAGAACAAGCATACAAAGTGTTCAACTCCTGTCCAGCCAGATTCTGTGCCAGTACTGGAACAGTCAAACAACATCCACGATGTGGCGGAAGTTCAAGAGGTGGTCAAAAATGTGCCCAAACTCACCATCGACACTGGCAAGAGCAATAAGGGCCGGAAGCACAAGCGCAAGAATGCACATGCAAAGAAAGACAAGACTGAGCACAATACTTTCCCTCAGCAAACCGAAGGGCAAAGAGACCTGGCTGATCAGGAAACATCAACTGAGCGGCATTCTGCATCAGATGCTGGCCAATCAACATCTCCTGCCTTGTCTTCACCTGCCTTGACCTCCCCACATCTCACATCGCCGTTTGATACAGCCCGCACTCACCTCTCACCCCTCTCCCAACACCCAAGCACTCCATGCAGCTTCGCTACCATCAATACCTCGCCCAAAACTGCCACAGGCGAGCTGGAGGATGCGGAAGCGGAAGAAGAGCTGGAGGTTGAGTTCGCACAACCTGTATCCGGCGCCCAGGGCTATTTTTCTGGTAAGTTGCCAGTTTGAGTTTCGACTTCAAACCTCCTTTGCGCAACATTGGAACTAGCGACTAACAATCAACTTTAGACCCCGAATTTTACACCGAATACCGCCTGGATGGGTTGGAAGCCGACCTTCCCCACATTGAGTCTCCAGATGCGGTCAGATTGGGTAAGTCACTCCTAAAATGCTATTGAATGTTTGGATTGTGTCTCTAACATGCAAATCAGGTGTTTTCGAGGGCCTCCGGAAGGTGACCTCGCTGACTGACCAACCATCGCGCGCCTTTCTCCTGCATGCTGTTGACAACTCCGAGCTTGTGACAGAGGCCAGTTCTGATCACGACCTCAGATCAGTTGAAACAGCTTCAGGCGAGTCTGGCCGCAGTCGCCGATTCCGGCCTTCGAAAAACAAAAAGGACCGCGCAAGGCGAAGGAAAAGGGCAGCATACACACAGTCACAAAAGATTCTGGCGTGGTATTCACTTACCTACCCAGATTTCTCTCCGGGTGGTTGGATTAGTCCCAATCTGTCTCCACCTGAGACTCCCGAAGAGGAACTGTCCCCCACAGGCACGCAGGCCAGCAGCGACGAGGACCATTCCGTGCAAGCTCACTGGCACTTCTTTGACACCCCTCTCCCCTGCGCTCGGGAGGGTTGCTCGAACCAGTGCAGCTTCATGGATGGTTCCACCGTCGTCTGTCCGGCCTGCGGTCCATTCTCCCTGGTCCGCTACTGTGGCAAGCAACACCTGTGGGAGGACGTCCTGTTTCATTGGTCGAGGTGTCGCTGTTATCCTCTCCTGCACCAGGTCGTTATCAGTTCCCTTCCAAAGGAGATTCTCATGGGTCCACCGATGCTGCTCAACATCCATGACTGGGATAAGCCTGAGCGTCATCGTCAAGCTGTCTGGTTCGCTTCCGCCGTCTGTCACGGAGACTATTTTTTGTTCGACAACGAACCTCTCATGGATTTTGTAGATCAACCAAAACGCCCCGAGGTGCTTGGATTTTCATCGCAGACCAACTTCGCCTGTTTGTTTACAACGCCTGAGGAGAAGGATCGAATTCGTCGGGTTTTGGCGGTCTGTCTTTTCAGTAAGTTGATCCCATTATTTTACTATCAATCTCACACACACTCTCTCCCGCTGTTCCATAGTATTTGCTGCCAGTTTGCACAACATCACCCATTCTTCTATCATCGGCAAGACCCACACTGACCAACATTTCTCCAGTGGCTCCTGAACATCCAGCTCTCGTGGGCTATCTGTACCGCTTATTGCGTGACTGGTTGATTAGCCATGATATGCTCAGCGTCGATATGGAAAGTGTGCTTGCTAACCAGCTGGGACTCGAGACAGGGCTTGGAACCTCGTTCTTGATGTATTCCGAGCTTGCTGGGGCGCATCACGCCTGTGAGACTGAGTGGTATGGGGTCTCTCACCCCTGTTCAAATCCTCAGTGCGACTCTGACCCTCCTCCCGTCTTTCTTTATACCGAGTTGAATGGGTTCCAGGAGCTTTGTGATGTCTTAGAAGGTAACTTCTGGCTGTTGCGAGCACACCGGTCCACGCACCCTGATGTGAGGAACATGGTGGATCGGATACAGGGCGTTGGATTTGAGCAGGCCCACTTGTCGGAGCGGATTTGGCCCCGCGGTGAGGGCTGGGATGGCGTGGGGACGGGCCCGATGTGGGTGGAAGAGTCGTGGTCAGTTGGGCAGCGGTTTGTGGAAATTTGAACCTGGGTTTCGGTTGTTTGTCTGGGTTTGGTCTAGAATTGGGTCATGGCGTGTCTGCCCTTGTGTGAGATGGCCTTGTGTGAGATTGGTCTGGTTTGAAATTGATTTTACGACCTCGGGAGGATGCCACTTGAGTCTGTCTTGGTGATTTGCTTTGGACATCAGAACCTTGAAAGCTGTGATTACTTCCCTACGCGCACATGTCTGGATTATACGTGTATGGCTTCTCCGGGGCTGAACCTTTGCCGTTTTGCACAAAGACCCTTTCCCTGCAAGGCTTGACATAGACTTGGTGCGAAGATGGTCGAAGAGAAAATCCAGATGTTCACAATTTACTTTCCCTTGGAGAATAGGTGGAAGAGTCAATCTCTCTAACGTCAAGGGAATACCAGAAAGAAAGAAAGAAAAAAAAAAAAACCTCGCAGTGATCACTGGGATATGACAATCTACACATGTTAAATTATTTTGGATGAAAAATATCAAAATCTGTTACATGTTCAAATGTTAATGAATTTCAAAGCTCCAAGTTACTGCAGCGATAAATGAAAGGCAGCTTTGCGATGATATCAAAGTAATTTGTGCCAATACAGGTGAAATTTCACAGCTCACTCTCATATATTTTAAATTTAATGTGCGTTTCTTTCATTCTCTAAGCATCTATTTAGGCATGAATCATACTCACTGCTATTTGGTTACTGGGTGATATACTTCTTGAGACCTCTCAAACGGTCCTTTGCAGTCTCGAGAACATCGTCGTTCTTGCAGACAGCAAAGCGGAGATAGTCCTCAGCAATATGTGTGTTGGCATCAGTGTAGAACTCCGTTGGGGGAATCGCAGCGACACCGACCTCATGAATGAGGAACCAGCAGAGCTTGAAGTCACGGGGACGACTGGCGACGTGGGGTGGGAAGGGGTAATCAGCAGGAAGCTTGACAGCGGCCATGTTGACAAGAACGAAGTATCCACCCTCAGGGTCGGAGTACTGTTGGAGACGGGTTAGCAAGGTTCCATTTTATCAATGCAAGAATCAAACACGTAGTCACATACCGGAAGACCGAGCTCGTCAAAGACTTCACAGAAAAGCTTGATCTTGTTCTGCATGTCATTTCGGCTCTCATCCCAGAAGCCCTCGGTCTCAGCCTTCTCAAAGGCAACGGCAGCAGCTTCCTGGAGAGGCGAGACACTGCTGTAGCAGATGCGGGTGTGGGCACCGGCCACGTACTTGACCAGGTGCTCGGGGCCAATGAGATATCCGACACGCCAGCCAGTGGCGTAGAAGGCCTTACCGGCAGAGCCGACGGTCAAAGTGCGCTCATATAGCTCGGGAGACAAGGTAGCAATCCGCGTGAACGGAACGTAGAACAAACGATCGTAGACCTCGTCGGACAAGATAATCAAGTTGTACTTGACGCACAGCTCGCCAATGCGCTCGAGTTCCTCGCGCGAGAAGACCTTGCCAACAGGGTTGTGTCTATAGGAATGCGGTTAGTTGACATAACTAGTCCATGAAAGGTAGCCACTGCTCACGGAGAGTTCAAAACCTACAACAGTTAGCTTGGGGATCTACATGTGCTTGGCGCTCGAGTACTCACGATCATCTTGGTCTTGGGGTTCATGGCATTTTCAAGCTCCTCGAAGTTGATGGTCCATTCGGACGCAGGGGATGTTCTGGTGGCACCGTCCTGGGGTGGGTGAAGTGGCACATAACGGATAGTACCGCCGGGCATCTCGATGTTGCTAATATACCTGTCCACGGAATCAGCCACCCGGTCTTCTCGCAAGGACAGATATTCTTACTGGTCAAAGAACGGCTCAAAGATGATAACTTCATCGCCGGGTTCAATGAAACCCATAAAAGCACTGAGCATGCCTTGGACATCTGGTCAGCGCCGAATCCTACTTGTTGCACCTGCTATCCCTCACCTTCATTTGCGCCGGTTGTGATAGAGACCTCGGTCTCTGGGTTGATTTTCTTGCCAAAGAAGGGCGAGTATGCGTCTGCGATGGCCTGTCTGAGGCGGGGGCGGCCCTATATTTTGTGAGCGACTATCGGAGTATGTGCGGGTCGGGCGTTTCGCTACCTTGGTGGGAGAGTACTGGTTGCATTCTACCCGGTCCAATGCCTCCTTTGCAGCATCGAGGGCGAACCTGGGAGGATTATAGCCACTACACCAGACGTCATATGTCAGCGATTGCGGGCTAAAGCGACTGCGGGGAGTGCCGAAGTGACTCACAAGAACCCTTGGCCCATGTTCACGATGGGCTGGACAGGTGATGCAGCAGCAGCTTCATTGACGATGGACCTGTTGCCATGTCAGTAACCCAGTAACTCGCTCCTCGTTTGTATGCTGTGGTAACCCACCAGACATCCTGGCGCTGTCCTGCTACCCGCTTGGCGGGGCGGAAGGGATCGGGGCGAGGAGCTGTTGCGGACATCGCTCTGGAACCGGGGATTACAGTAGAAAGAGGTACCAGGCGGGGAATTCGTAGAGAGGACGAACAGCGTAAAAACATGACAGAAAGAAGAAGTGCGGAGTACGAAAGTTGAGAGGGCAATGGCGTGCTCGGTGATTGGGCTCCCCGGTCCGCAGTCCGCAGTCCGCAGTCCGGAGTACTTCGTGTAACACGTCAAATGTTCTGCGCTCTACGAAGTCGAAATCTCTCTTTAACACTCATTACATACTATTGACGAAGCAATCACCAACACTTGACTACTGATTGATTTTACCTGGAATCTAGGAGTCTAGGTCCCAGATGGTCGTATCTGCAATTACTAAGGCGCGTTGATACCCGGTCCGTGGACGCGTCTCCGCAAAGCGTGTTAATGACCACTTCATCTCTCGACCACAATGGTTCACTGCCCGATTTGTGAAAAGTCGGTTCCACAACTGAAGATCAATGATCATATCGACTCCGGCTGTCAGAATTTCATCGAACCATCCTCTCCAGGCTCCCAAAAACCAGTCCCCAGCATCTTCCAACCACCCTCGGCACGCAAAGCTTCACAGTCAACTACTACGAAGGAACCAAACCCGGTCACCCCACGACCCCTGAATGGCAAGAGGTCATTTGTCCACGAAAATGAACCACAAACAGCAGGACCGAAGCCAACAAACGGGGACGTCAAAGAACCACAGGCAAAGCGTCCCAAGGTCAATGCTTTCCATAAAGCAGCGCCTCTGGCGGAACGCATGCGGCCCAAGACCCTAGAAGAAGTGTGTGGCCAAGAACTCGTCGGCCCGGACGGGGTTCTCCGTGGACTTATCGAACAAGATAGAGTACCAAGTATGATTCTGTGGGGTGGTGCAGGGACAGGGAAAACGACGATTGCCCGAGTAATTGCGTCGCTGGTCGGCAGCAGATTCGTGGAGATCAACAGCACGAGCAGTGGTGTGGCAGAATGCAAGAAGATTTTTGCCGAAGCCCGCAGTGAGTTGGGCCTTACCGGAAGGAAAACGATCATCTTCTGCGATGAGATTCACCGCTTCTCAAAATCACAACAAGATGTTTTTCTGGCCCCTGTAGAGAGCGGCCAGGTCACGCTCATCGGTGCCACGACGGAAAACCCATCGTTCAAAGTCCAAAATGCACTGCTCTCGCGGTGTCGCACCTTCACTCTGGCGAAGCTCACCGATGAGGACATCACTTCGATTCTTCAGCGTGCTCTCCGAGTCGAAGGCCCGAGCTATGCACCTTCGGGACTAGTCGACGATGAGCTGGTGCGGTATCTCGCTCGATTTGCGGATGGTGATGCTCGGACCTCGCTGAATCTACTCGAATTAGCAATGGATCTGTCAAAGAGACCTGGAATGGACAAGGATGTTCTGAAAAAATCACTGACCAAGACACTGGTCTATGACCGTGCTGGAGACCAGCACTATGATACGATTTCCGCCTTCCACAAGTCGATTCGAGGCAGCGATCCAGATGCGGCGCTCTACTACCTTGCTCGCATGATTCAGTCCGGCGAGGACCCGCTGTATATCTCCAGACGGCTCATCGTAGTCGCTTCGGAGGATATCGGGCTGGCTGACAACACGATGCTCTCGCTTGCCATCGCCACACATTCCGCGGTGGAAAAGATCGGGCTCCCAGAGGCACGAATCAATCTTGCACATGCGACCGTGGCCATGGCGCTGTCAAAGAAGAGTACGCGGGCGTACCGTGGATTGAATAACGTGAATGCCGCGTTGAATGAGCCAGGAATCGCAGGGCTGCCGGTTCCTGTCCACCTGAGAAATGCCCCGACCAAGCTCATGAAGGAGCTTGGATACGGCGCTGAGTACAAATACAATCCAAACTACGTCGATGGGAAGGTACAGCAGGATTACCTGCCTGAGCAACTGCTTGGTCGTACTTTCCTGGAGGACTTGGACTTGGGGACGCAAAGAGACCGAGACCTGAACATCTCACGGCGGTAACCCTCGGTTAATGCCCAGTTTCTCCTCTGCTATGTGCTATGTGCTCTGTGCTCTGTGCTAGTGATACCAATATCATACCAATCGCAAACTTGCTATTACTTCTTGTCTCATCAGTGGGCCTTGGTATTCCAAGATACGCTATCTGCCTGCTTTTCTTGCTTCCCTTGATGTTCGCCGTCATTGAAACATCAGAAAGGAAAGCAATGTTCTGAATGATTATATACATACGCCATTCGCCATTCAGTGCGCTCGCTGGCGATTACATACTTTTCCCGATTGAGCATCGGCGCCGTGCCTTCCATTACCACGAATCAGAACACTGGTCTTCATTGCCTATACATCGCTCTTCGACCATTCATCTTTTGCCCTACGAACAACTTTCCCAGATCTGGGGCTTGCTATTGACGAGTCTCCTTGCTCTCGTTTATAAGTGCACGCTCGCTTCTCAGGAATCCTCTCACCATGCTCTCAACTTCTGACCGTCGTCCATCTCAACTCGTTGAAAGCCCCTCGGTGTACACTCATTCCGTTCTCCAAGACCCCTTTGACATTGTAAGTTGATATAAATGCCATTAAGCCTATTCCCATTATCACTGGTGTATCGAACTGGGTGTTCAACGCCTCACTCGCCCCTCTAGACTTCCTCGGTTAACTGACCGTTCTCTCCCAGACAAACGATCTCATTCCATCCCAAGTGTCGATACCTTATGAGTCGTTTGGAGTAAACCAAATGCCTTTGATCGGCACCGCAGGCAGTCAGATCGTTCTGAATGCTCGGCCTCTTGACTTACACCTCGTGGATCCTGGTCTTGCATACAGTCCCGACGACGTACCCATGCAAGATGCCATTTTCACACCATCACCTCAAACCTCACCCACTCGCATGAGAATGAATTCTCAACATTCGTCCTCTTCCGGAACTGTATCTCGAACCCCATCAAGCCCCCAAACAGAACAAATCACCGAAATTCAATTGGGTAATCAAGTCAATGAAGTGCGTCTCTGTATTCCACCCGTACAGCAGTGCCCCGAGATCGTGGGCTCCAACTTCATCAGACAATACGACCCAGCCAACCCAGAAGAGTCCCTTGCGGGCAAGAGACATCGTGGCAAAGCTGAAATTGAGGAACAAAAAGAAAACATCTTATCTTTGAAAAGGGTTGGCGGCTCGTGTCTATGGTGCCTCCGTACGAAGAAGAGATGCCAGGCAGATCTTCTATGTAAAGCATGCAAAACCCATCGGCGGGCGTGCTATCGAGGCCCTGAGTTTTTCATTCGAAAAAATCGTCTTAAACATTTGAATCTTCCATCCCCGCAAGCTCACCAGACACTGATTTCTATGAACGCCAAAGCTTTCGAAAATACTCGGCAATTCAACGTGGGGATCAACATTTTCTCACAACGGGCTTGCAACCCGTGGACTTGCACTATCAATTTTGGGGACACCTTATGGCACAATCACTCTGGTCTCAATGAGCCACTGCTCAGTCTTGTCGAAGGAATCGCCCGGTCTCTCGCTCCCGACTTCCTTGAACTGAAACAGATTTATGGAAGCAATTCGCTTGTCGGTCGCGTTGAGTGCATGTGCAAATACTTCATAGCATCTCACTGGCTTGTGCAGGCAAATGTCCTTGTCTTGCCGGCCGATATCCCATTTGGACGAACCGTGGCGTTCTTTTCATTGGGATACTGCATCCGCGCCGTGTTCGAAATGTCTGGCTTTTTCTGCGAGGCCCTTTATGAAGCCATGCGCAAGGGCAGCCCCAAAGCTGGAGCTGACCTTGATCCCACCTGGGTCGCTGTTGCCCTCTATTACAAGGTGGTCTGTGGAATGAGAGATATCCAGGACAGCCAAGCTGTTCAGAACATTCTCGGCCCCAATTTTTCCTTCAATTCGGTTTGTGCCAGCGTCCAGCAGATGTTGCTGTCGTGGATGCCTCGTCAGGGTGCCATGAACAAGGCCGTGAAAGAACAGATCCTCCAGGATGAGATCCCGAACTTGAACCCACACATCGACGGCTGCATGGAATTGTGGCAAGATTTCAGATACCATCAACTGGAGTTACAGCCACCTATCACCATGGCAGAATTTCTCTTTGATCACCCCTCTGGGCCCCCTCCAGCTGTCTTGAGCCCCCCGTTAAGTTGTTTCCTTCTTGAAATGAATGGTGGTGCTGAGATTGCAGAAGTGGACGAGTTTGAATTTGCCAACGATGATCTCTGTATTGAGCCATCGGCCCTGCTTTCTGAGGAGGACCAGCTCGTCTTTTTGAGTTGTTCGAACTTCGTCTCGGTGAATTGAAATATTGACATGTCTTGTTTTATTGTTTTGCTGGATATTCTGTTTTGTTCGAAGTACAGGATAAAGGTCGGGTTTACGGCGTTGGATGCCCTATTGCTGGTTTGAGGTCAAAGATGTACTATTATTATTAACACCATTGAAATGTATAATGCATCCCTCGTAATGACTCCAATATCTCTGTACTCTCTATACCTAAAGATTGTAGATATAGATTGTAGATTCTATAATCTACTTAAGTACCTAGGTATAATCTATATTCTCTACTCTCCCGTATACTCCACTCTCCAAACTCCGAAAAACACAACTTTGGAACTTCCCGCGTCGCGTCCACCGCCTCTCAAACAAATCAACAACCCCTCGCAGCTCTACCAACCCACATCTCTTCAAAATTAAATCATGGCCTCCGGGCAACCATTCGCGTCGCGCTCTTACGCCGGCACCAAGCTCCCCGAGCGCTCCATCAACAACGCCATGCCCTTCAGCGCCTCATCATTCTCACGGCATCGAGGTCTCAACGCTCCTCAAAACGACTTCCCCGAACCCGCCAAACAGCAGCCCGCCCCCGCAAATGCACAATCTCACGGTCCAGCGCAGGACACAAATCCCTTGAACCGCTTGACAGAAGAGCAGCGCGAGGAGATCAACGAGGCCGTACGCTCTACGCTCTTTCCACATCATCCATGTCTTGAGTCATTACGCTAACTCTATTTAGTTTACTCTCTTCGATCTCGATCGCGACCGTCACTTGGATTACCACGAACTCCGCGTTGCCTTCCGTGCCCTCGGCTTCACACTGAGTAAACAAGAGCTCATCTCTCTTTTGACGACCTACGGCGTTCCCCGTCCCCAGGTCCAGCAGCAGGCGAATGGTCCGCCTGCATCGAATAAGGGTCCTGTTTCGAATCCCCAGCATCCATCGAACCTACTCATGCCGCTCTCGTCATTCCAGGCCGTGACCGCGCTGAAGATTCTGGAGCGGGATCCGCGCGATGAGATCCTTCGCGCGTTCGAGCTTTTCGATGAGGGTGCAAAGGGGTATATTGATCTGGAAGATTTGAGGCGCGTGGCGCGCGAGTTGGGTGAGACTGGTCTTGAGGAGGAGGAGCTCAGGGCTATGATTGAGGAGTTTGATTTGGAGGGGGCTGGTGGTGTTACTCGTGAGGCCTTTGTTGGTATTTGTTGGCAATGAGTTGACTTGTTGATTGCATGGGGTTTCTTTGGAGTTGGGCAGTCTTTGCTTTTTTTTTTTTTTTTTTTTTTTTTTTTTTTTTTTTTTTTTTTTTTTTTTTTTTTTTTTTTTTTTT